TTATCCTCAGTGTGCTCACCTGTCTGCCCCTCGTTATCTGCCCTATATGTTCCTGTCTCTTGTATTCTATTATTGTCAGTTATTGTGTGTGTGTGTGTGTGTGTCTCATCTACCCGAATCTGCCTTGTTGTCTCTACATTAAATATCCTTATTTGAATCCTTGTCATCCTCATCATCCTGCCTGCCTCCACACACCGTGACACCTGAAGAGCAAAGTCAAAAAGATTTAAAATTGTTTAAAGTCTCTACCTATGTCTTTTTCCTATTTTTGTTATTACACAATGCAAAAAAAAAAAATCATGGAAGTCACAAAGTCACGTTGTCAAATATGAAGTCACATTGCAGTATTGTAAAAGAAAAGTCACCTTTTTATTGTATTTTATTATATATATTTCATTTTAATTACACTGAAAAGAAAACCTGCCTTTTCAAATCTATTCAGTACACATTTCACTGTAACTTAGTCCTAAATGAGAGGAAAGTTATTCCAGAATGGAGCTCTGGTCTAAAAACCTTCCTTCACATTAGAGTAAGACAGGTGATGGACAGCTGCTCCATCATGTCAATTAGAATGTGTCTTCTGCATGTTGTGCACCTGACCAATAACTACCATTCAAGCACATGATGTACTGTCTCCCTTGATTTCTGTGAAACCACAGCCATTTGATGTGGCTTCTATGCAGAGCAAAATCATAATACAGTAATGCACTCCAACAGACTTTCACGCATGTTGTCAAGCCTCCAGAGACTATCCGCAGAGCACCTCAGCAACACGACGACCACATATAGTTGTTTCATAAAGCTGACAGCACTATCTGTTTAGTGTCGTCCTCAATTTCCAAGCATCTCTCATGCTGTCAGAGGTGAGTCAGCTCTCTTCTGCAGTCATTCTGCAAATGTGAGCTCACCTGACTTACTCGTGGCTTGATGTTCAAGGCCGTGCCTGAGGTCAGCGCTTCTCATGGATCACATCAGCAGCATCTTCATACACTGAACACATGCCAGATCTCTGAGAGGCCCCTCATGGACCGCCAGTGGTTTAAAAAGCCACACACGTCGTGTAAAAGCAGTTCTGGGTTTGGATGTTAAAATGCGTGTACTTTGGTAAAGAGTACAATAATGTAAGGATATCAGTCTTCCTGCAGCATCATTAGTGCAGAGTACCAACTCTGACTGACCGATCTCAAAATGATTATCAATTAATCAATTTTAAAAAACTGACCTCAAAATATTGTAACAGCAGTGGATATTAACCATACTTTAAAAATAATCGCAAGTTTTTCATATTTGCCATACGTTTTCGGGTGCATCCCTAATGTAAACCCAATTGGTTATGTCATTAAAATGAATTGAAAGATAAAAAACAAGTCTGATTCATGTTAAAGTGTCAGTGCATTAGAACTTCTAATAGAAACAGAGTCAGTTGAAAGTCACTCTAACCCTAAACTGAACTTGTGACGCATGTAAGCATTAGGTCAAAAATGTATTTATCTATTTTCAAAATGGATAGCTGAAGAAAGAGTTCCACTTTTGCAGTGCTGCTGTCAGCACCAACTCAGCTGGTACAGCTCAGTGAAATAAGTTTTGCAGCTCATGTCGGTTATAGATTTCATTTTCTCAGTGTGCTTTTAAATCTGAGAAGAGCTCCAGTCTGAAAACGTAGACTTCCTCAGGCAAGACAAGGGAATACTTTTGTCATCTGTATCCCCGTCTGTTCTCTCACTCTTTCTCTTTCTTCCTGTTTCTCTCTCCATGTTTTAGGTAGGTAATATTATTCATCACTTTGAAGAGGTGAATTATACATAGAGATTACATAAAGTGAGATGCAGCATCTCATGAATTTCACATCTAACACATTTCCTCTTAATAATTAATGCTTATTTCGCAGACCGAAAATTAGTTTGTTGAAGAGCTCCTCCAGATTTGATTAGCAAAAAAAGTGCAAACTGACACTAATGTAATGCCAATGCTGCCAGACATGAGAGCAGTGTGCGGCCCTTACCTGACCCATAACCGTGCCCATTCTTCCACAGAAGACCAAAAATATCAAGATATTTCCTGTGCTGTCAGAGTGTTATTCTCCAGATGGATGCTGAATGAACCTGCAGTATGTAAATTAATGTTTTCATTATTTTAATTGTATTTATTTATTCCACTGTTACTGTGGTTACTGTTAATTGAATATCCTCTGTTGACAAATAGTTGCCTTGTTAACACATTTGCAGCAAATGAAAACTTGTAAACATGCTGTTGAAATGGCTGAACATATTTAAATTCATGAGGTAGTGACATACCTTACATGAATTCATTGTAATATATTGTTTAAAACCTGTGAAACTAATTGGGTCAGAGATTTGAAGAGGTTCATCTGAACATAAATCCAGATTTTAATATTTGTTTTCTCACTATGGTGAAAATAATTTGCGATTCATCCTCCACTTTGTATTGAAACCATGCTTTAATCTCATTATGGTGACCATGTTTGGTGCACTGGAAGAAAACCTGATGCTAAAATGATATTCAGTGATATTTGAAGGTTGAGTGATTTTTTCTTTAGTGATTGAATTCAAAAAGGTTGAGGAGAGCAATCCATTAGCATTTCATTTCAATAGCTGTTGTTCACCTGTACTTGCTGCCCTGTAAGTATACGACCTGGACACTGGAATCTTGCTTAAAAAGAACTCCACAAACATATTTTTGTGTCCGATCACCTGAGCCATGAATGCAACTCTCTATTATAAGGGGAAAACATACATCTGTTTCACATGGAAGTCAAAAGGTCATGTTGTGAGATATAAGTCCCATTGCGGAATATAATGTAATAGTTTGAGATACAGGGCCCTATCATACACCCTGCGCAATGCGGCACCAGTCGAAGTGTTTTTTGCTAGTTTCAGCCCGACGCAGTTATCATTTTCACGTCCTGCGCCACGTTGTTTAAATAGCAAATGCATTTGCACCCATTTGTTCGCCCATGGCCGTGCTGGAATGAAAACCAGGTGTGTTCAGGTACATTGCTATTTTGAGGCAACTGAAATAGACTGCACCATAGACAAACTAAAGTATTTTTACAGTATTTTTTTGTTATGTAAAGAGTGCGTTAGTAATATGCGCTTATAGGCGGGTCCACAACATGTGTACACTGCTTATTATACACAGGGATGCGCAGCAGCCCTCAAACATGCCAAATATTAAAAATTAAAGGATTACAATGTAAAAGATTATTATTGCGCGAGCGCAACTGGCTCTTAAAGGGAATGGGAGATGTGACTCTGATTGGTTTATTGCACGTCATGCCCAAAACACACCCATTACTGATTAAGAAAATAGGGACAACCCTTTTCGATCATAGCAAAAGTGGATTTGGACACGCCCTAAATGCACCTGCGCCTTGTGCTTTAGACCATGCGCTTAGACTGTTAAAATAGGACCCATAAAGTCACATTGCAATATTGTGAGAGAAAATTCACCTTTTTATTTATTTATTTATTCACATTTTATTTTATTATTTTTATTTACTTTCAATTACATTGGGAAAAAAATCACTCAGATATTGATGGTAAATTTCAAACAATAACAAAGAAATGGCAAGTAAAATATTGAATTACATACTGAATTGCAATAATCTGTTTATTTTTACTTTAAGATGGAAACAGGATCTTTAGTTTCTTGCTGCTTAAACCATCTAAAAAATTTTGTGAACATAGAATAATACTAAAATATAATGATATATTTGCATTTATGTTGCAATTTCAGCTTTGAATTCAACCAACAGCATGCAGAGGAATAAAACATTATGTTAGAGAATTTCTCCACAGCACTGCTTAGTGCGACAAGATGTCTCAGGTCATAACAGGCCACCTTTGTCAGCGAGCGCCACGATGAAATGGACGAAGAGAAAGCAGGAGGGATGGAGGACACGAGAAAGGTGAAAAGAACAATGAACGAGTGAGAGATAAGGCTGATTAGAGTATAGAGAGATAAGATGAGGAATAATGCGTGTGGGACAATGACTAGATGACATCAGAGCAGCTGACAGCCTGAAGGAGTCAGCTTTTTCTTTTGACCCCTCTACACGAGAGTGATAACGTGCCCTCCGATGTACAGTCAGGAGGTAGGGAAAGACTGAGTTGGCATTGATTTTGCGTGGATGAGATTGAGGGAGGGATAGAAGAGCTAGGGGGCGGAGGTGAGGTGTTATGGTTGATTCTGCGAACGTCAGCGTTTTCCTGCTAAATTTTTATGTGTGCGTCTGTGAGCGTATGGCTGTGCTTGTTTTCCCTTGGGGCATCTCGTTCGTAATTTCCACCAGCACATCGCAAAACTAACTTTCTCTGATCATTATCATATTTCTTAAACACGACTTGACATATTTGAATATTGCATATCGAGTGATCTCCATTGGAGCTAATCAGTCTCTGCAAAGTCTTGGAAGCACTGATAATACTACATATGGGGTGCGGAGACAAGCGGGCGGCTAGCCAAAATTTTCTCTAGCGCACACACAAAAACAAGAAAGTGTTGAGAATATTTGGCATCTGTCACCAACTTTAAACTGTCTTCAGTTTATTTTTTTCCAAGACAATTTTCTTGTCCTCTCTCGCCTTGCTCTGCAATACCAAAATAAGTGTCACTTCTTTCCTGACACCGTATTGTGTTGCATTTGACATTTTGTGTTGCTTATGTGCCACCAGCTTTTGGTGACATATTCATATCTATGGCAAGTTTAGTATTCCTGTAGCAGTTTGGATTAAACTTGGTCCAACTAAACCTGTCTGGGCACGGAGCCCAAACAAAGCACAGACTGTAGTCAAAGTGTCATTGGCTATAATGAGTGTATTTGTATGCTAAAGTCTCCTCTGTCAGCGAGAGTTATAGTTGTATGGGTGTCGCAGGCTCTCGGCTGTCAGGATGTGTCATCCATGTATACATAAAGTGGTTGGGAGGTATAATGTAGTATCATGTTCTATTTTTTAATTCTCTCTTTCTCTCCCTCACAGCTCTTAATCTGCTTGGCTTGAATTGGCGACTGAAGCCTACTGAAGGGCATCTAGTGAACACTGGCCTCAGCATGAGTATTCCTGGCATTGACGACGTGGCAACAGTGCCCTCCGGAGGCAGAGGTAAAAGCGAAAAACTCCTGCCAAAACCCTGAAATGCAATCAATGTGAAATCCAAGTGACCCGATGACATGAAATTCAAACCCCCTGATGACATGAAGCCCAAACTGCCTTATGTTTACACTTGTCAGTCATTTTATTATGTACAATTCATGAGCGCATGTTATTCTAGTGGGGGAAAAGTTTTATAAGTCCCATCCTACTAATTTTTTTTTCTAGCTTAATATTTCACTTATTGAACAATTTTGTAATGTAATAACTAGGTAACAACAGTATAATAACAGTGTATTAAATATAATCAATTGCATCCTAGACTATTGTTGTTCACTGAGTCCCACCCTGCAATTTTATAGCTAAATATGTTTTCCCTCTTTGAAAAAAGATTTAGTTTTGTAATAACCTAACAATAACATCACAGCCTATGTTCACTAAGTCTAACTAATTTTACTCAGAATATGCCACAATCATGAAAGTTAAATGTGTTACGATTGAAGTGTTGTATTGTCTTCAACTGCCTCTTCTGCAGTTCTGCATGAGAAAGTAATGCTAATGCATTTATTTAAAATGATGAATAGATTTATTCACTGTTGGGTTGTTATAACACATGTTAGTCTCTGTCAGCTTGAGGCTTTGTGAGAATCATCTGAGCCCAACCAGTGATTGTCCTGTACTGTATATTGAGAGAGTACATTAGTGTAAAATCACAGTCTAGTGTGCCTTTTTCTAACGACAACCTTTGATAAACTGGGTTATTTAAATGAGACGTTTTGGATCTCAGTGGACTTTAGTTAATGGTTCAAAGCACTGGCTAACTCTCAGTGGCTCCGGCACAAAAGAATCTCCCCGTTTGTTGTGCGTTCACCTCAAATGATTTATCATTATCAGTGTCAACACGTTCAGATGATAACGACTGCCACTGACCTTTAGAGAGTGCCGGTATTGATGTTCTTCACACAGAGTACAGCTTCTTCTCCCTTTAGATGGGTCTAAAAGAGTGGGTCTTTATGAGAGAGAACACATAGATGCAAATCTAGGTTTAACTGTGGAGAATGTGTGTGCGTGCACAATCCTATTTGTTTTGGGGTGTAATGAAAAAAACATGCCTCCAAAAACGTACACATACATACAATTCACCACAGTTTCCAATTCCTTGCGTTACTATGTTATGAACACAAAACACATTTACCTAATACATTTTAGCATTTGCATCACCAGCTCCATATGTATGGCTTTTCTGATGTAGTAAAATTGCTTGGTATCTCACCTGGTACGTGCTTATATGAGTCCAGTGAAACAGGAGTCACAATGCTGACTCAAACACACGTGGAATCAAGCTAAAACAATTTTATCTCATGTTTGCTTTTGTTTGTAGGTAGTACAATATTTTCAAATGCGATTTCAAAAGCATTTTGCGCCACTGTTCGGACATTACATTTCTGAACTGCTGCAATATGTACAACAACCAATGTAATAAAACCTTGCCACATTCACATTCATCTGTTTCAGATAAAACTGAACATGCTTTTAGCATCACTCACAGGACATCTCACTTTGAAAATGTTGCAAAATGTGTAATATTACTTTGCAGAAATGTCACAACAGGCACGTTTTTTCAGTGAGTCTGGGTTGGTAATGGAAGAACTCCTGTCTGATACAGGATGAACATAATGTGGGAGGAAGGACATTGTGTGCGAAGGCTTTAGAGTGCATTTGCTCTCTCTATCTCTTTCTCTATTTTTCTGAAGTGTTTTTTCTTTGATGGAGAGTTTCTGAAGCAGGGCTAGCTGTCCTACAGACAGACATGCACACAGACACGTGTGTTGTAGTGTGCTGTCAGTGGGGGAGGAGAAACATGATTCTAGACTCGCACCATTTGAATGTTGTTGTTATGTGAATCTACAAGGCCCTTTCACATGACTCATGTCAGGACTTCAGTGAACTTCTCAACACAAGCATCATGTGTCTTTTTGACCTTGACATGAAAAGCGCTTCTGATAGCATCACAGAAGACCAATTTTGTGTGTGTGTGTGTGTGTATGTATATATATATATATAGCTTGACAGTTAGAGATATTGAAAGCAAGCAAGAGAACTAACATGTCTTTGAACTCGTGACTGAAAAAATACATTGCTGAAACCTTGAGGGATCTTTGATGCTACTAAGCCTTTGCGGTTGCTGTGAGGTGATTGATTCTTCACCTATGTTTTTTACATAAAGCAACGTTTGCAGGCCATTTGATTTCTGTAATGTGACATACTTTTGAGTGAAACAAGATATTAAAGGGGGTCATATGATGCGATTTCAAGTTTTCCTTTCTCTTTGGAGTGTTACAATCTGTTCGTGAATAGATAAGATCCCTAAAGTTGCAAAGACTAAAGTCTCAAACCCAAAGAGATATTCTTTATAAAAGTTAAGACTAGTCCACGCCCTCCTAAAATGCCTAGTTTAAACATGCCCCCACATGTCTACATCACTGTGTGGAAAGATTTGCATAACGCCGCCCAAATGTTCACGCAAAGAAAGAATGCATAACTTTATTGTTGCTGCCACCGCCGCCGCCATGTTGTGAAGATGCTGTGTGTTTCGTTGCGAAAGCGAAAATACTTAGTTTGGCCTTCCAAAAGAGGACACGTCTAGATCAATGGTTAAGTTGTATTTACAACACTGTTCCAGAACAGTTCAACCCAAATATTCAGATGTGTGCAGCGCATTTTATGGAGGACTGTTTCCTGATCCTGGAAGAGTAGACTACAATGCCGGCTGTTCTGTCTCCCAGGCTGTAAGTACGTTTTCATATTTAAAGAATTTGCCCCTGATGATTCAAACGCGAGTTTTGAGCAGTGTAGAGTAGCGCATGTTGTTTGTTGTTTCTCCAATCACAAATGCAGACATGGTTTTATGTTTGTGCGGCGCGAAAAAAGACAGTATAAGTAATTATAATCCGTAATAATGTCCCCACTGGATGCAACAAATGTCTCGTTTATAATGGGTTTTAATGTTTTTGTCTCGCCACTCCGGGAGACGGCATCACAGTATGGTAAGGGGCGTAACATTTCCGTCACATGCTTGAGGTATTCGGCCAATCACAACACACTGGATAGCTGGCCAATCAGAGCACACCTCGCTTTTCAGACCGATGAGCTTTGTAAAAAATTTACGCGTTTCAGAAAGGCTGGGCATAGAGGAGAAACAATAATGTACAGTATGTGGAAAATAATGTGTTTTTTAACCTTAAACCGCATAAACACATTTCATTACACCAAATACACCAAATAATTTTATTTTTAGCAACATCATATGACCCTTTTATGCTGGAAAATATAGTGCAAAACTTCATTTCATCCATTGGGAATCAATTGGATTGAGAAAAGTGCGCATTACATACCAGAATTAGTTTCATATGGATAATAAAAATTGTGAAAAAAAGATGTTTATGCTTCATTTAACCCTCTGATGGATGCCATCCACTAAAAGTCACTTTAGTAATTTAGGATGTGATGTTACATGCGAACCAAACTGACTGCATTTGGCCCTAAGCCATATAATTTTATATGGTATTCCTCTTTATATGGCTTTTATACAATAACATACTGTGCACTCCACATCTCTCTGGAATATCTCCCTCTTTATTTTATTCCAGAAGATTAAGACTTTATTAGTGTATTTGTTTATTTGGTAACACTTTACTTGAAGGGGTGTGCATAAGACTGACATGACACCTTCATAATCATGACATGACACATGACACATGTCATGAATATGAAGGAGGTTTTATGCATGTTTATGACAACTGTCATTAAGTGTCATTCGCTCAGTTATGTCATTTTTAATGGAAATATGACATTATTTGACCTAACCCTTCCCCTACCCTTACCCCTAACCATAGCCCATAACAAAGACATCTCAAACAATGTCATCTTTGCATTAAAAATTACATAACTGAGCAAATGACACTTAATGACAGTTGTCATAAACATGCATAAAAACCCTTCATATTCATGACATGTGTCATGTGTCATGTCATGATTATGAAGGTGTCATGTCAGTCTTATGCACACCCCTTCAAGTAAAGTGTAACCGTTTATTTACATATTTATTTATTTCAATAGAATAAGATCTAAGGAACACTTTTATTCTGGAATTATTCAGAATATTTGTTACTCTGGCATTTCTATGGGGATTTCCATTCAACTCTTCTGTGGCTATTTCTAAGACTCTTTAAAATGAAATATTGTACTAATTATAATTTTACAATTAGATTTTAATTGAACAAGTAGACCTAATTAAGTGCTTATATTTTAATATAGCCATAGGGAGCTGTAGAGAAACAAAGTATAGAAACACTATAAGGATAAAAGTGATTGTATGTACCTAATCAACCATATTTTGGGGAGAAATTTGTGCCCAGAAATGAGTTACATCTGACAAACCACCTTCTGGGGAAATTCTCAAAAAAAAAAAAGTAAAAAGGATGGTACAATCAGTCATTTTCTGTAGTGCTAGGTAACAAGTTATTTTAGAAAATTATAAGAGTTATTGTAGGTTTTAGGTTGCAGGATCTGAGGTGACTGACCTAGTCATACCTACACTAAACAAGAAAGTCCACAAATATCAAGACATAGGTGCGAGTGTTCGTTCGTGAGAGGAAAGCACCTTTTTCAGTGGCTCTATTGTCAGTAGTTCTGACTGGTTGAGAACTTGAGGAGTGTGAACTTCTGCTCCAGAGTACAAGACTCTTCTTATGCACCCTCTCTAGGGTACTTTCTCTTCCCCTTTTTTCTGCTTCTCATTTTCTCTCTTTATCTATCTCACTTTTTCCATCTCTCTCTCTTGCTCTCTCAGTGTGGTGCTCTTGTTCAGCGCAGAGCCGTCCATCCATGCTCCGTGTTAATGAGGAAGGTTGGTGTGGACTCCCACTGGTTACCAGACTGGGCTGCTTTAACCGACCTGTCACTCAGACCTGACACTGCATGTGCGTGCGCATGTTCTCCTGCAAAAAGAAGGCTTGATCCATTTAGGGAAAGAGCTTGCTCGCGCTTGCTCAATTCAATTCGTCTCTCTTCATAACCCATTTAAATGCAGCCAGAGGTTTTAGCAGGCTGGGAAACAGATTGTCTCTGCTTATCAGGGCACATCAAACATCGAGAAAGTAGACTAGACTGACAGCTAACACCAAGCCCACTCGTGTTGCACTGGCCCCTCAGACTTAAAAGAGTGTGTTTGTGTGTGTGTGTGTGTGTGTGTGTGTGTGTGTGTGTGTGTGTGTGTGTGTGTGTGTGTGTGTGTGTGTGTGTGTGTGTATGTGTGTGTGTGTGTTGCTTCCGATACTATCAAGGCCCATTTACTGGGTTATTTTCTGATTGGAGTTGCTGCGATCTATCTGCTCTGTCAACACAACACCAGTTTTCTCTCTAGAGGACAGACTTAGCAGGTGTATTGGGAAGGGAGGAGTGCGTGTGTGGCCAGTGCTGTCATGCAGAGGTATTATGATTTCAAGGGAGAAGACAGGGTTTGATTTAGGGTTGATGACTTTGGCAGCCCACACCACACACTCATTAGCACAGAGCTGTGTCTCAGTGGAATAATATATGTTGATTTTTTTTGTACACACTGCAAATATTTTCACATGGAGCGGAGGATATTCCCTGTTCTCCGTGTCTTTGAAATACTTTCTTAGTGTTTTTCCCCCCTCAAACAAATCTTGTTTCTTCTCTTGGCGTCCCATCTCAGGGCCGTGGGTGTTGAAGAACAGCAGTATAAACAGCGGGGAGCTGGAGCTGGGTCAGCGTGTCAGTCAGGATGTTCCTCCAGGCGTCTTCTGGAGGTCTTTGCTTCACCTGCGCCAGCCACACTTTCTCAAGTTCAACATCTCCCTGGGCAAGGATGCGCTGTTTGGGGTCTACATGCGGAAAGGCCTGCCTCCTTCACATGCTCAGGTGGGCAAATCGCCTCATGTCTTGTTTCTTCTTTTAAAGGAGCCAGGTTCACTTACAATTATGGCTGGGAATCCAATTTTTAAATACTGAAAAATATTTCAGCAAAACTTTCAGTTTTTGTTTTGTTTGGGTTAGTTCACAAAAAAACAGAAAAATCTGTCATAATTTACTCACCCTTATGTTGTTCCACACATAAGGCTTGTGTTCATTTTAAAAAGACGTGAGAGCTTTCTGTCCATCCTTTGAAAACCCATTTCATAAAAACGTTCACAATTCAAAAAGTACATTAAGACATATAAATGCAATCTTTAAGAATTGAGCAGTTTAATCCAGGTTTCCTGAAGAGATGCAATCACTTATTATGATGATTTAAGTTAGGCTTTTATTCACGTATAAACATCAGTTAACGCACATACATAGAGCACATCAAATATGGTCAACAGTAGCTCAAACATACTTAAACATACTGTAAGAACAAACTTTAATAGATCTTGCGCATCGAGCACATTGAGCTTCTATTTACCACATTTGATGTGCTGTATGTATGTGTATAGATATTTATATGTTAATAAAAGTCTAAATCTGTTCATTATATAAAGCAATGATGTCTCTTTAGAAGATTTAGATTAAGCTGTTCAATTCAAAGGGATTACTTTTAATTAGAGCGTCTCTTAATAGACATTTGAATCGTGAAAGTTGTGGTGGACTGGACTTTCAATGGAGGAACAGAAATTTCTCAGGTTTCATTAAAAATGTCTTCATTTGGGTTTGAAAGGTAAACAAAAGCCTTATGGGTTTGGAACGACATGAGAGTGAGTAAATTATGACAGAATTTTCATTTTGGGGTGAACTATCCTTTCAGTGCTCAAGCGCTTTACATCTGAATTGAATGACTCTTATGAGCCAGCTCATTTGTCACAGATAACCTCACTGGTCTGAAACAGCTTACTCACTGAAAGAGTCAGCTGGTTACTGAATTGATACCTCAGTACACACTAGGGGTTGCACCGACTAATCGACTAGTCGACTTCAATGCTCTGCCATTTAAGATTGACGTCGACTAGTCCTGTAGAGGGCGCAACAGGATAAGAAATCTTTGAAGGACTTCCACATTTACGCTCCTTTTCCAAACAGTTAAAATGACAAATAAATGCATACTCTGAAAGCGCTCCACAAGACATGTGTGAGTGTGATTATATTACTAGATGCTCGAAATTGAACAGGAGAATGCACTTTTTAAACAGCTTATTGCACATGTAAATTAATCACCGTTCTAATCTAATGCGCTGCTGCACTGTAAGGCACACACATAGGCTACAGACAGTAGCTCGTATATCACGCACACATCGCGGGCGCACAGAAACATTCAGCGCGGAAATGTATTGTCAACACTGTTCTGTGATTTCTCAATAAAGTAGCTTAGAAACCGAAAAGTTCAAGCATATATTTCTTAATAACTAAATCCCACAGCGTCACTACTACTAGTAGAGAGACGCTGCCAGGTAGAATTAATTCAGACACGCAATCGCTCTCACTAATGCATTCATATGAATGTAATCTTTACTGTGCTACTTTATCTGTATCTGATTTAGAACGAGCAGAAATCTGTGAGAAATATAACGACTCAAAGACAAAAGAACTGATAAAATTGAGCTGTTATAGGAGCAATAGCCATGTGGGCAGCGCTGTGTGATATGCCATAGCTGTGCACAAGCTGTTTATCACAGCTCCAAACTTATTTGTTCATTAATGACATCATCAGCGACTAGTCGATTTCAACTCGACTTTCATCACATAAAAGTTGATTTTTAAAAAAATCAGAAGTCGTTCAACCCCTAGTACACACTGACTTAACTTCAAGTCAATATTTTTGACATAGCTGATATCCGGTCTGTATTCATAAAATTGTTACTGTGTTTAACCTAATGTTTGTAAGACTTCTAGTTACTAACATATTTTCATAATGACAGAGCTGTTGAACATGATTAGTTATTTGTCATTATACAAATTTTTTGTCTTCTAAGTACTGAGTCCTTAATGGACTTTTTTAGAAACTAGAAGCTGAATCTAAATCAGAATCATAAAAATCCTGATGATTTCTATTCTTATTAATGTAAAAAAGTAATTATTGTTTGCAGCTTAAATATGCTCAAAGAAATGTCTGTGAAAATACGGCCCAATGTTCCATGTTAATATTAGGGAATTGCATTGTGTTATGTTTTAGGGTTGAAGGAAATGTCCATAAACTTATCGGAAAATGTTTTTCTTATGGTGTTGTCTTAATTTGTTTTTCATGAGCATGTATCTACAGTAACTCTAATGATTGACACTGTAATGTTCAGACTGACCCAGCAAATGCCAACATGGTCAACATATATTGGAAATTGGGGTTGGTTGCCATTTGTTGGGACAGTGTGTGAGCTAGCATTTATAGAGCAAGGAAATCTGGTTCCCTGTGATGTTCCTCCTTAAAAAGACAGGTTTTCGTTAATTACCATGAAGAGACCATCTGTACAGACAGGCTTTTTTGTTTGCAACTTTTTTTTATGAATTGTAAATGATTTCCAAATTATCGCTGCATATTTGTCTGCAGAATTCTTACACTTGTCTTGTCACATTCCAGAGTTGTTATCTCTTCTACATTTTGATTTAATTTGACTATTTTGATTGTCATTACAGTTTTTAGTGAAGGTGATGTCCCGCAGCTACTTGCCTTGCTGATTGTTTTCTCCCTCTGTCCTCACCTCTCCCTCTCTCTTCAGTATGACTACATGGAAAGGCTGGATGGAAAAGAGAAGTGGAGCGTTATCGAGTCTCCTCGCGAGAGGCGCAGTATTCAGACCGTTGTCCAGAACGAGGCAATCTTTGTGCAGTATCTGGACCCCGGCACCTGGCACCTGGCCTTCTACAATGACGGCAAAGAGAAAGAACCCGTCTCATTCAGCACTGTGGCTCTAGGTAGACACCTCCAGCTTTATTTACACGCTAAAGACAACATTTGAAAGGAAGATGGTAAATAAAAACTTGGTTGTTTGGAGACCTGCTGTTTAGAAGATGCATTTAACTGCAAGCCGCTTGCACAGTTCACCTGATCTACCCTTAACCTCATTTTATATTTCAGTTTGAATGTGAGCAGTTGAACTGGGAGAGCTGCTTTTATTCCTTTCACTTACATTTCTCTTTAGGTCATAGAAGGAATAGCTGTATTTCTAAAATAAAAGTAAACACTGAAATATGTTTTTTTCAGGCAGTTTCTCTACAACGGTTGCTATAGTGATGACTTAGCAAAAGCACAATGCCAACTTCCAGACTTTCTTCTATAACAGTTGAGAGGAGCTGTCACAGCAAAGCGGAAATCTGGCCTCATGTCTGTCATGACATCAGGCAGTGATGCAGAACTCATAAAGCGTATAGGAGGTCTTGCTGTATTTTACATATTCATGTACTTTATATATTTTGTGTTTAAATATTCATGCATAAACTGCTCACTTGTTCACTCATTCAATATTCAGAACATAGCAACTGGAGTATGCTTCAGTAAATGGACAAAGAATGAGTAAAAAAACAGAAATTGTTTCCCAAATAAAATAACAATAAAACACATTTAAAAAATCTGTTTTAAAATTAAATACAAATGTGGTTAGATGAGATTTGTAAATATATTTTTATATATTTCATAGACTTTTTAAATCTTTTTTTTAATTGATCAAACATGACTTTTACACTATTAAAGACTTTTACATTATTAAAAAATAAATGTCTAAATGAAGGTTAAAATTGTGTTTTTAAACTTTCTGTTAATCCAAGAATACTGGGGGAAAAAACGGTCAGTTTCTAAAAAAATTTAAAGCAGGACAACACTGATAAAAACAACATTGATTTTAACATTGATGATAAGAAATTATGTAAAAAATAATAAAAGTGTCCCACTTTATATTAGGTGTCTTTAAATACTATGTACTTAATAAAATTATGAATTGTTAGGTACAATGTACGTATTGTATTCATGTTGACTTGCAGAACACTTTTGCTGTTATTGAGGTGGGTAATTACAGAAATTAATTACAGATGTAATTACAGGACAGTATTATCAAATATAAGTGCAATGTAATAGCATTTATGTATACAATGAGTGCATAGTATCAAATTATTAATTTAGATGTAAGGACCCTTAATATAAAAAACTTAGACTTCTTTCATACACATTTAACCACAATATTTTGAACTGTATGTTTTTTTCTCTCTCTCTCTATTTGAGTAGAGTATGTCACAAAAAAAGTACTTTTGCTGCCTCTCTGCTGTCTGAATAAATCCATAGAGATTAAGTGCTAAACGTGTTTGGGCACTTAAGCCACTTAAAATGAATGAATGCCATTGCATTAGATAACAGAGTATCAAACCAAGTGGCATTTATCTTAAAGACAGCACAAGCACACTTTTCAACACATTTCACAAAAGATGTGTGTTTGGTTTAAAAATAGAAAAGACTAAATCGTACAGTATTTGCACACTTTCTGGTTGTCAGGCATTAAACATTTTCAGAAATGCACCTGCAGTTGCTCTCATAGAACACCTGTTTGAACTGGAAAAGAACCAATTTCATACATCCACTCAAAATCACCTTGAGATCAGTTGTTTACAATTCACTGCAAAAATGATTCAGAAAAGTGAAATTAGCTTGGAGAAAATCTTGTTTGCAGATGCCATTTTGATATTTATCTAATGCAGTGACATTCATACATTTTTAAGTGTGGCTTAAGTGTCCAGTTATTTTCTTGGTCCACTATATTCATAACAGTATGTATGATTAAATATTCAGTTTGAGGAGAAATACACACACACACACACACACTGTGCTCATGAGGCCTCTTAAATCTGATCACATACTGTATGAATGTCTGTGCATCTTGTTCAGGTGATGGCTGCTGTTGATTTGAAAAGCATTGTTTATTTTAGCATTTACCGCAGTCATAGTGTTATATTTCCCATAAGGCTTTGCTGAAATGTGTCACAGTAATTCACACATTGCCACGGAATCAATAACGATGGCTGAAAGTTCACAGTGTGCCATGCTGTGTATGAGATTATTTCACAAAATGCAAGAAAGTTCATAGCGCTATGACTTGTTTTTTTGTCAGGCAGCAGCGTTTAAAGTCTTCTGAATTTGTGAACGTTACATTCCACTGTCCCCCATTAATAACTGAGGGTTGTAAAATGTACGCGTCTCTTATGGTTCGTTTCAGATTCGGTGGAAGAGTGCCCCCAGAATTGCCATGGCAATGGAGAGTGCATGTCAGGAGCGTGTCATTGCTTCCCAGGGTTCCACGGCACGGACTGTTCCAAAGGTACCGTTTACTGTCACACTGCCGGAATGTTTATGCAAAAAAATTATGCTTCACTTTGCAGCATTTGTCAAAACATTTTCGTAGTCATACAAAAAAGCTGTGTTGTGTAATAACATTTTGCTCACTAAGTCAGAACACCTTACTTTCACATTTCTAAATGTAAAGAGATGTACCTGCCATTTGTGATTCTTCTCACAAAGTCAAAAAAATTAATTATTCAGCATAGAAATAAGAAATTATATTTAGCCTATTTTAGGACCATTAGGATTTTTTTTTTTGCATTGTGACATTATTATAAGACAAGTAAGCACACCCACCCAGTAAAATGAATGTACAATAATTTATAATTAATGTGTTGCAATAAAAAAGTTAAATATTTCTTTATATCTTATAATATATCTTTATGCAAAACAATATTATATAAATGTATATGTATTCATAATAATATAAAAATAAACATGACCTGTCACTCTGTCATTTTACATGTGATCTGTAAACTAATTAATATCAGTAATTAATATCAAACTTAATCATTATTATGTCATTCCATGCTGTGTTGTTAGATAACCTTTAGTTTTATATTAAATTGTATTTACATTGACTTCAAAATGAACTTTGTGAGCCACTGGATTTATTTGTGAGGTTTTTAATGAGCGCGTTTTTATTTCAAATTTGCTGTAAGTTTTAAATTGACTTGCTTCATGTTTAACTATGATGCAGATATAGATGTGTGAAGCATATGTCAGAATTTTCCCTCGAACTCAGCATTTGTCATCAGATCATCAGTGTACATAAACTCTGGCCATTCGTCATAGCGGCTCTATGACACTGTCACATCACTCTGAGATCCAGATGGATGAATTGCAACATCACTGATTAATCCCATCTCAGTTATGCCAAAATGTCTGATGGGTTTGTTGGCTTTACTGTGCCAGACCAATCTTTTTGAGTGATGAAATGCTCTCAGTGGAGGCTTCGTAAAGAGAAATGTGTGTGTGTGTGTGTGTGTGTGAGAGAGCTCACCTGAGACTATAGACAGCTAGTTTATTACTGTCAAATGGCGTCTTCTTTGAGTAGCAGAGAGTGCCGTTGATATTGCCTCTGAATCTCTTACCTTAATTACACAAGGCATCGTCTGCTTTATCACCATATTCAGAGAGCTTCAGCAGTGTTTATGCTGCCTTTGAGGCTGAATAGCGAACACTCTGTGGGAAAAATGCAAGGGATGATTCTTTTCTTCCTTTCCTACATTCATTCATTCCAGGCAATTTTTCATCAGAAACTGTAACAGAAAACTGTATGCCGGCTATTGCTGGAGAACAAAGTTTAACTTGTCAAGATAAAAGCTACTCACAATTTAAAATAGTTAAAATCATGAGTCTCTTTTGAAAAAGTAGTCAGCTATGTAACTACTGCAACTTTTTTAAGGGGCAATACATGATACAGTTTGCATCCGATTAGAGGGCAATATATGATATCAAATTATAACATTTCTAATTCAATCTCAACTGTACAGTATATGAGGGTTTATAAGTAAATGACTCTACACAGAGACTGGAATTGGTGAATAGTTTCTTTAAAGGGGTCATAGGACGTTGCTAAAAAGAACATTATTTTGTGTATTTGGTGTAATGCAATGTGTTTATGCGATTTAAGGTTAAAAAAACACATTATTTTCCACATAATGTACATTATTTCTCCTCTATGCCCCGCCTTTCTGAAACTCGTCGATTTTTACAAAGCTCATCGGTTTGAAATGCGAGGTGTGCTCTGATTGGCCAGCTATCCAGTGCATTGTGATTGGCAGAATACCTCAAGTGTGTGATGGAAATGTTACGCCCCTTACCATACTGTGATGCCATGTCCCGGCACGGCGAGACAAAAATATTAAAACCCATTATAAACGAGGCATTTGTTGCATCCAGTGGGGACATAATTACAGATTATTATGACTTATACTGTCTTTTTATGCGCTGCGTTGCGTATAGCGCTGCGTAAACATTAAACCATGTCTGCATTTGTGATCGGAGAAACGACAAACAACAAGCGCTACTCTACACTGCTCAAAACTCGCATTTGAATCGTCAGTGGCAAATTCTTTAAATATGAAAACGTACTTACAGGCTGTTAGTCAAAGCGCCAGACTATCCTTGCAAAGTTGGAATTGCCCCACTTTATAGAAACAGACACCGGCATTGTAGGCTACTCTCCCAGGAAACAGTCCTCGTCCTCCATAAAATGCGCTGCACACATCTGCATATTTGGGTTGAACTGTTCCGGAACAGTGTTGTAAATACAACTTAACCACTGATTTCTAGTTGTGTCCTCTTTTGGAAGACCAAACAAAGTAGTTTCACTTTCATAAAGAGACACACAGCATCTCCACAACATGGCAGTGGCAGCAGCAACAATGCTACAACAAGAATCAAAGTTACGCCTTCTTTCTTTGCATGAACATTTGGGCGGCATTATGCAAATCTTCCCACATCGTGGCATAGACATGTGGGGGCATGTTAGAATGAACCGTTTTAGGAGGGCGTGGTTGACTCTTAACTTCTATAAAGAATATCTCTTTGGATTTGAGACTTTAGTCTTTGCAACTTTACAGATCTTCTTTATGCACCAAGAGCTTGTAACACTCCAAAGACAAAGGAAAAATTTAAATCGCATCATATGACCCCTTTAATCTGGTTCACTCAAATAAACGGATTTACAAAAAAATCTGACATCTGTGTACACTAACATTCAAAGCTTTGGAGTAAGTAAGACTTTTTTTAAAGGCTTGTTTATTCAACAAGGATGTATTACATTGATCAATAGTGACAATAAAGACATTTATAATGTTACAAAACATTTCTATTTCAGCTTTGATAATAATAAGTAATGCTTCTTGAGCACCAAATCAGCATATTTGTTTCTGAAGGATCATGTGACACCGAAGACTGGAGTAATGGCTGCAAAAAAAATTATAGCCATTATAGTAATAAATTACATTTAAAACATTAAAATTAATATTATAAATTAAAAGTTATTTTAAATTGCTATAATTACTGTTTTTACTGTATTTTTGAGTAAATAAATGCAGCCTTGGTGAGCATAAGCTACTTTTTTAAAACATTAAAAACTTTCACTGACCCCAAACATTTGAACGGTAATGTATGTATGGTATGTATCAGATTATATAATTTAGCATTTAAAACAATTAGGGTTTTTAATCAATAGGGTTAAACCTGAAGAGAAATGTTTATGAATTTCTATTTGGATATAGAAGATGTAACATTCCACTAGAGAGTTGATTATACTAAGAGACTGGAATTGGTGAATCATTTCTTTTTATCTGGTTTGTCCAAATGAACCAATTTACTAAAACATGTCAGACATGTCAAAGCTACGTACTGTATATGACAACAGTTCAGGAGGGCACATTTGCTTATTGTGAGTGCACAAGGACATAAAATAACAGTGATGTATCTACACTGTCTGAAAACAGCTAAAAAGAAAGTTTTCTTGACACACGGTTTGAGGTGATTTCATACATTTCAGTGTATTTGTTTGGATTAACACTATGCTTCATTTTTCTCTTATCTTATCTTACATTTCATACCTGAACTTCTCTTAATGAAGCTGGTTTTCCAAGAATCAAAGTTACGCCTTCTTTCTTTGCATGAACATTTGGGCGGCATTATGCAAATCTTCCCACATCGTGGCATAGACATGTGGGGGCATGTTAGAATGAACCGGTGGGAGCCATGGTGTGTGTGTCGGGGGCGTTTGCCACTGTGAGGAGGGCTGGACAGGCACAAGCTGTGACCAGAGACTGTGTAACCCACAGTGTGTGAAACATGGGACCTGCAGGGATGGCAAGTGCCAATGTGAACAGGGCTGGAACGGAGAACACTGCACCATCGGTAAACACACACACACACAAACACACATGGTCTTATCCTGTTTTGAAGCTTTGAGCTAGTCAAAGGCATTTCCCTCGGTTCTGTGACTTCTTTTACATCAGTGTCTTTCAAAGACTTTTCGGCTGCTGTTTTGCTGTTTGGTCTAGATTGATTTGCTCATGTTTGCATCAGCACACAGAGTACAAAAACATATTTGCGCGGGTGTGTATGTTTGTGTGTGTTGCCATTATTTTATAATCACATTCAGAGCAAAGGACACGGTCTTCACTGTGTGATCCGCATCTATAAGAATATTAAATGACTTTTTGAGCTCTGGAGTCCAGCTGGAAGAGGAATACTAATGGATGGACTTTAGTCTTTGCAACTTTACAGATCTTCTTTATGCACCAAGAGCTTGTAACACTCCAAAGACAAAGGAAAAATTTAAATCGCATCATATGACCCCTTTAATCTGGTTCACTCAAATAAACGGATTTACAAAAAAATCTGACATCTGTGTACACTAACATTCAAAGCTTTGGAGTAAGTAAGACTTTTTTTAAAGGCTTGTTTATTCAACAAGGATGTATTACATTGATCAATAGTGACAATAAAGACATTTATAATGTTACAAAACATTTCTATTTCAGCTTTGATAATAATAAGTAATGCTTCTTGAGCACCAAATCAGCATATTTGTTTCTGAAGGATCATGTGACACCGAAGACTGGAGTAATGGCTGCAAAAAAAATTATAGCCATTATAGTAATAAATTACATTTAAAACATTAAAATTAATATTATAAATTAAAAGTTATTTTAAATTGCTATAATTACTGTTTTTACTGTATTTTTGAGTAAATAAATGCAGCCTTGGTGAGCATAAGCTACTTTTTTAAAACATTAAAAACTTTCACTGACCCCAAACATTTGAACGGTAATGTATGTATGGTATGTATCAGATTATATAATTTAGCATTTAAAACAATTAGGGTTTTTAATCAATAGGGTTAAACCTGAAGAGAAATGTTTATGAATTTCTATTTGGATATAGAAGATGTAACATTCCACTAGAGAGTTGATTATACTAAGAGACTGGAATTGGTGAATCATTTCTTTTTATCTGGTTTGTCCAAATGAACCAATTTACTAAAACATGTCAGACATGTCAAAGCTACGTACTGTATATGACAACAGTTCAGGAGGGCACATTTGCTTATTGTGAGTGCACAAGGACATAAAATAACAGTGATGTATCTACACTGTCTGAAAACAGCTAAAAAGAAAGTTTTCTTGACACACGGTTTGAGGTGATTTCATACATTTCAGTGTATTTGTTTGGATTAACACTATGCTTCATTTTTCTCTTATCTTATCTTACATTTCATACCTGAACTTCTCTTAATGAAGCTGGTTTTCACTAATTCCTTTCAAACATCCTCATCTTCTGTCCTTCCCTCACTCCCTCCTGCATCCTTTCGTTCCGTCTTCGTTACAGCAGCGTGTCCCGTGCTGTGCAGCGGGAACGGACAGTACAGCAAGGGTGTGTGCATGTGCTACAGCGGCTGGAAGGGCCTGGAGTGCGACGTGCCGCAGGGCCAGTGTGTCGATCCCAGCTGTGGCGGTCACGGGACCTGCACCCAGGGCAGCTGCACCTGTGAAGCGGGTTACCGTGGAGAGTCCTGCGAGGAAGGTAATGAGCGCATCGACGGCTTTTCTGACCATCTCATTTTCAAAACTCTTTTCAAAACTCAGAAAAACCTCTTCCTCTGAGAATCTCGGTTTTCAAATGTCTGCTATAAAAGCATGCTGGTACAAGCATAATAAACTTTATTAAAGCGGTGAAATTCAGTCTATTGATCGAGCTTTTAAGAAATTGGCCAGAAATGGAGTCTCTGAGCGCATGTTCATATGAGCTGCAGCTGGTTTTTGAAAGTGGAGAGATCCCAGAGGTGAGTTTAGAAGAGAGAGGTGAAAGATGAGGAGGAAAGAGAAGAAAAAAGCAAGTAGAATGAAAAAGTCTTTTCAAACTCTCTGTTTCTCTCTCTCTCCAGTGGATTGTCTTGACCCCACGTGTTCGGGACATGGCAGCTGCGTGTCTGGTCAGTGCCACTGTAAGCCAGGTTGGTCCGGGCCTCTATGTGATGTATCCAGAGCCCAGTGCCCAGATCAGTGCAACAGTCACGGAGCCTACAGCCCTGACACGGGCCTCTGCAGCTGTGACCCTAACTGGATGGGCCCCGACTGCTCCACGGGTGTGTTCCCATCAGCCATTTTCACCTTCTCACTTGCTGTCTTCTCAAGCTGTGCTGCAATATATTGTAATCTTTCATTTTCATCCATCTACACTCTCGGGGGATTCACTAAGCATGAATTGCACCCGCTGATAGCGTTGTTTATTTGCACTCGCTGCGTGTGCTGTTTTAGCACCCGATTCATATGCAAATCAGCTAACGGCACAAACACACCCCCAAAAAATTAGTGGACACAGTTCCAACTTCGGTGGATAAGGTGCAATCCAAAATAATCTTCATAAATAAAATATTATAATAATCTTAAAATATATATTGAAAATAAAATGTATAATTTATATAAAGGAGACTTGTTTGAACTGAAAATAATGACAGTGACTTGATTAAAATATACATGGCGCAACCAACACAGATAGTGATTTCTTATAATGGATTGTGGGTGATTGGTGAATGAGATTTGATATAGAAATATTGTGAAATTTCTATTTTAATATATATTTTTAATATAGGCCTAATATATATTCCAGTGATGGCAACGCTGAATTTTCAGCAGCCATTATTTCATTTTAATCATTATTTTAGTGGCACATGATTCTTCAAAAATGATACTAATATGCTGATTTGGAACATTTGAAGCATTTTTTATTATAATTACTTTTTTTCAGGATTCTTTGATGAATGCATCATTCAAAAGAACTGCATTATTTTTTAAAGAATGTAAAAGTCTTTAATGTCACTTTTGATTAATTTAATGCATCCTTGCTAAATTAAAGTTTTAATTTCTTTCAAAAAAGATCTTACTGACCCCAACCATGTAGATAATACAGATATTTTAGTGTGCTATTGACAATGGCATAACAGTGAAGTTTTTAGCAATGTAATTATTTACATTGCCAAAGCATTTGCAACTTTGCTGCAGATCATTAAAACAGTGCAAAAGCAAATAGCAATTAAGTAAATAACAGAATAAAAAGAAGCAATAATTTAATTTAATTAAGAAGAATAAAATAAAGATGTATATAAGAGATGGAAAAATAAGAGTAAAAACAAATCACTCTCTTTCTCTCCAGAGGTGTGTTCAGCAGATTGTGGGAGCCATGGTGTGTGTGTCGGGGGCGTTTGCCACTGTGAGGAGGGCTGGACAGGCACAAGATCTTTCTGAAAATTCTGCGTCGAATTGTTCCTTGTTTGAAAACGAATCCACGGTAAAATTAAGTGAACAAAGGACCAAGTTCTTACTGAAGCAGTCTGGAACTTCATTGAAAATAAAGTGCATCCACTCTTTCCTAACGTCTGGGATTAGAAGGAAGGCAATGCAAAGACTGCACAGTGTCTTGTTGTCGATCGGAGCGATCTTTATTGTTTGGTTTCTGTGTAGACTAACGAGAAACATTAGAGTCCTGAAACTTACAGGATGTTTTTATAGTACAATGAAATGTGTAAAGATCAGGGGAATTTTGGTTTCTCAGTTCATGACCCCTTTCATACAGTAGATTGAGATTTGTCTATACTGCTGCTTTGTGGCAATTTATTAGGAGATATGTGCGATATGAAGATGCTCTGAACGGATGAATAGAGCAGCTCCAGTCATCCGTATGAAAAGGTGATGTGTCTGTTGGCTGGCAGAGTGAGGAATTTGAAACTACCCCAAGGCAGAATGATTATATAACAGGTGGATGTTCAGAGTCAGCCCTAAGCACTGAGCGTCTCCCCTAGACCAGTTAAGAGCATAGAGAGGCTTTTAGAAAGAACTATTTGTTGTTTCTCGTTTTAAAGTGTTTTCATTTTCCCCACTGCATCTTCTCTTTTGTGTGTTCTCACTCTCTTATGTAAACGGCCAGGCTTTTCATAAAGCATTGTGAAACTACTTTGGATCCCATAATACAAAACCATGCAAACCATTGTCATTTTAATTTAGTGTTGTTTGAATTTAGCAGTGAAGTCAATCTGTGATGTTTAGATGCAGGGCTGCCAACTCTGAGCGTGAGACTCACGTAATTGACACGGTATGATCACAAAAGACTTGTTAAATCGGGCATTTGAACGTACTGCTCAATCTGACCCAGACACAAGCAAGCGTTCTCCAGCCGTTCACAGCTTCCTGCTTCTTTCTTCTCTCTCTTTTGTTTATACTCTTCATTTGGGGGTTACTTCACAGAAACCTCAGAGATCAGAGAGCACCAGGCAAAACAACATAGAGCAAAAGTCTTTGGCAACAGGCGCTTGTTGTGAGTTTGTTCCGGATCAAGAAAGACCCATTTAGGGAGAAGGGTTGAAAGGGTGTGTATGTACAGTGAACTGCGATATGCAGCAAATAAGAGACAGGAAGAGAGAGGAAGATGAAACGGGAAGGGAAGCTCTCAGGGGTGTGAGCGATGCCCTCTGTGACTTTGATGTAAGTTCTCTAAAAGTGAAATCAGGAGAGAGAGAGAGAGAGAGAGCAAGAAAGAAAGAGAAACTAGAGCATCATTCAATTCAGTGATCGCTTCTATTAGTTGAGCTCATTACCCCAATGGGGATAAATAAATAGATTTGTTCATTTTCATTTCCATAATGATGAGAAGTTCTACATTTGAGCTTATTATGGTTATTTTAATCATATTATTTGTCTCTCTCTCTTGACATCAAAGCAGCGCAGGGGTTTGAACTGAGAAGGGTTCATCAAAAGTACACATTCTGAGAATAAGATGGCAGATGAACAGAGAGACTTCAGAAGTCCTTTAAACCATATGCCATTCTGAAGCCATGAAACTGTGTGTGCTGAGGATGTCAAATGTGCTGGTACTTCTGGAACCAAGTCGATACTAGAAAAGAAATCTTTCTATAGTATCGATAACATTGAGTACAAACTCAATTCAGTACTTTGGTAAAATAAAGCTGAACACATGAAATGTAAAATTATGTTCATGAAGACATGAACATGCAAGGCTAATTAAGATTAATTAATACAAATCAGATATGTGTCAAAATATCCTATCTGTAAATTAGACACTACTTTTCAAAGATTTGGGGTTTGTAATTTGTGTGTGTGTGTGTGCACATTTTTGTGACAAATGAGGACATAAATTTGTATAATGACAAAGGTATGACATAGGTATTACAAGGAGAAGGTGACTTTTCAGGACATTACCCCATGTCCCCACTTTTCAAAACGCTTATAAATCACACAGAATGGAGTGTATTGAAAATCTGAAATAGCTCAAAGTTTCCTGTAAGGGGTAGGTTTAGGGGTAGGGTTGGTGTAGGGCAATAGAATATCCTGTACAGTAGAAAAACCATTACGCCTATGGGATTTCCCCACTTTTCACAAAAACAAACCTGTGTGTGTGTGTGTGTGTGTGTGTGTGTGTGTGTGTCAATTTAAAATAACTTCTATTTGAATATATTTTAAAATGTAATTTATTTAAAATGTAATATATCACTGTGATGGCAAAGCTGAATTTTCAGCATCATTACTTCCATCTTCAGGGTCACATGATCCTTCAGAAATCATTCAATTATGCTGATTTGCTGCTCAAGAAATATTTATTTTCAATGTTGAAAACAGTTATGTTGCTTTTTTCAATAATTCTTTAATGAACAGAAGTTAAAAATAACACAATTTATTTGGAATAGGCTACATATAATTTTTTATATTATAAATGTCTTTACTGTCTCCTGTGATTAATTCAATGCATATTTGCTGAATAAAAATATTAATTTATTAAAAACAAAAGCAATTTACTTAAACTGTAGTGTATGTTAGAAACCTTTACATCAAAATTGCTGCTAAAATTGACTGAGAAATATATGAAGGCTTTATTCCATTCCATTCCATTAATCTTTATATATCTTATGCAAAATAAATTAGTATGTTCAGTGGCATATATTAGATAATGAACTGGCATTTCTATCAAGTACTGAATTTTTGGTATCGTGACAACCCTAGTCTGGGTTTATTTTCATACAAAATTAATGTGTCACATTGCTAATGCACGTTACAGGCCTAAAGCTTATGAGATGTGGTGACATCTTTTCCACTCAGATGGTCTGGTTGACTGCATGGATCCAGACTGCTGCATGCAGAGCCCTTGTGTGACCAATCCTCTGTGCCGTGGATCACGTGACCCACTTCAGGTTATTCAACAGAGCCAATCAGAGGTCCAAAAAGTCCCTTCCTTTTATGACAGAATCAAGATGCTTGTGGGTAAAGACAGCACTCACATCATCCCAGGAATCAACCCATTTAATGCCAGGTACCTCATCTGCCATGTACTGTCATGGACTAAATTACTAAATTTATCATGCTCTAATATTGTATTTTGTGTGCGTGCAGCCTGGCATCTCTGATTCGAGGTCAGGTTTTGACCTCAGATGGCACTCCTTTGGTTGGTGTCAACGTGACCTTTGTGAAGTACCCTCACTATGGTCACACCATGACCCGCCAGGATGGCACGTGAGTAACTTCACATTATTTAAACCCCTTTCCATATTACCACATTCAGTTGAATATGCACTGAAGTATATTTCCTGTCCCGGTTCTCCCTAGTTTTGATCTGGTGGCCAACGGCGGAGGCTCTCTGACTCTGCGGTTAGAACGGGCTCCATTTCTGAGTCAGGAACGAACAGTGTGGCTACCCTGGAATCGCTTCTATGCCATGGACACTGTGGTGCTACAAACGGAGGAGAAAACCATAGCCAGATGTGACCTGAGCGGTTTTGTCAGGCCTGATCCCATGGTTCTTCCCTCCCCACTGTCCTCCTTCTTCAGCTCCAACCCTTCAGAGAGACACATCCTCCCTGAGAGCCAGGTGCCACATTCAACACAAATTCCATCAATTCTCATTTCTTTCATGTTCACGTAGGTCATTCCACTCTTCCGTTGGCTTTATATTTGCATTTTATATTCTCTATTACTCTCCTTCTTAGCTCTCTGCTGGTCTTTTGTTGTTAATCTTCGTTTTCGCTCTTGAACTCCTTTTGACTCATTCACTTCCTCATACATTCTCGCAATCACGGTTTCTCTCTGCTGCTTACAATTCATCTCTTTTTAAAGACTGACAGCAGCTGCAAGAATTTTAGATTTTTAGCACTTTGAGAAGCCATTAACCCACTTTTCGCTTCCTCTCACTGTCCAGGTACTTCACGAGCAGGTGGAGATTCCCGGCACCAGTCTTAAACTTTGCTATTTGAGCTCCAGGACCTCAGGCTACCTCTCACTGCTCAAGGTGATCATGACCCCAGCTCTAGTGCCTCTCAGCCTGGCCAAAGTGCACCTGATGGTGGCCGTGGAGGGTCATCTTCTTCAGAAATGGTTCCATGCATCTCCCAACCTGGCTTACACTTATATCTGGGACAAGACTGACGCCTACAGGCAGAGGGTCCAAGGCCTGACCGAGGCTTTGGGTAAGTGGGGTATGGAGTCATGTCAGGAAACAGGTGTATTTTAACTGTTATCTTGTTTCTTGTCTATGCTATTGTCTGTTCCCCAGTGTCTTCTCTTAATTTGAGCTCCAAAACACAGATAGTTTGTAGTTTAATGAGACTGTCTGTCTCTCATCCATTATGGTGTGTGCCAGCGGCAAGTTCCTCCTGTGAGCTAATGAATTGTTATGTCCCCGCTCGGTGATGGAGTGTTTAATTAAGATAGCACAGCTTTGCTCTTCCTCTAAGTGTCTTCCCTCTCTGTCATTTTCGCCTTCATTCTTCACGTTTCTTTCCTATCCCTCTTTCCATCTGTCAATCTTTCTCTATAGTGTCTGTGGGGTACGAGTATGAGACTTGTCCCAGTCAGATCCTGTGGGAGAAGAGGACAGCTGTGCTACAGGGATACGAGCTCAACCCCTCAAACTTGGGCGGCTGGTCTCTAGACAAACACCACATGCTGAACATCCGCAGCGGTATGATATGGAAACACCTATTCATGTAGAAGTTAATACATTCATTAGTGAAGGTCAGAAGAACTTGGAAGTTACATCAGTGATCAGCAATGGAATATGCATGCACTATTGGACTGGACGTTTCTATTCTTCAGACTTTAGCTCCATCTCTGCTCAGACACACCTTTCTGTAAGTTTCAAGTAATCCTGAAGACTTATTTTACAGGTGTGTTTGATTATAGATGCAGCAAAATTCTGCAGTGCAGTGGCCTTCAAGGACCAGAATTGTCAATCCCTGAATAATCAGGCTAATTAAAATGAGCCAGGATGTACTTCCTATGAGGCATTTGTTTTGTGAAATACACTTGACAATGCAGAAGGGACAGGTCATCCCTGCAGCTGATGGTTTAACAAGCTTCTCCAAGAAAAAATGTCCATTACTGACTCGCACTGTGTGAAATGTGTTGGTATTAAGCACCATTATAGTTACTGCGTGCTTTTTCACACCTGTTTATCTTCAGGCTTTTGCAGCAACTAAATTTCTCCTTCCCGAAGACTTATTCCCTTGCTAAAGGAGATAGGGAGGTTTGTGTTAAAAAGAAAAACAATTTATTGTGATTATAGCTTGGCTAGTGGAAAGTCAAATAAGGACACAGTGATGCCAGTGCACTATAAAATAATTCACACTTTCTACGTAATATTGCTCTTTTTATGCGCATTTTCCATTGCTCATAATTTCATCACTGTATTTGGGTAAAATTCTGTGCGTTTACAGGACCAGCAAATTTATTTGTTCGTTATTGATGATTATGAGGTCTTTAATGACTGCTGGTTTCACACTATTGATCATGAAATGCAATAAATATGTCACACTGTAGAAATTGATGCTTTCATTTAAGCATCACATTTGTGCGTGTACAGACCATTAGAAATATGTCATGTTTGAAATCTCACTCAGTTGCGCTTAGTGGCAGTGTTTGATTTATTTCACACAGGCATCCTTCATAAGGGCAGCGGTGAGAATATCTTCCTCTCCCAGCAGCAGCCGCCCATCATTAACAGTATTATGGGTAACGGCCGAAGACGCAGCATCTCGTGCCCAAGCTGCAGTGGGATGGCTGAGGGCAACAAGCTGCTGGCGCCGATGGCCGTAGCCTGTGACGGAGAGGGTAACCTGTATGTGGGTGACCTTAACTTTGTGCGGAGGGTCTATCCGTCCCTCAATACCACAGCTGTACTGGAGCTCAGGTAAAGCTAGGATGCACAGCTGACAACATTAAAACAGCATTTACAATTAATTTCACCTCTGTAATATAAGACATTATAGAGTAGAACTGAGTATTCTGCTAAAATAATAATTGTCTGGAGTTGGTTCTAAATCAAATCACATTTAAATAAAAAATGCATGAGGCTTAATTTCCAAGATCCACTGACAGGAAAAGCTGTCAGAAGAAGATAAATAATAATTCAAACTTGTCATTTGATATTGTTTTGTGAAATCAAGGGTTTCCCATGAGCACCACAGCTCAATATGTCAAAGCAGTGGCACTGACCACAAAGTTAACAGTTATTGCAGTTGGATGAAATATGATAATAAACACTTGACATGCATTGATAAATTATGCACTACTACACCAATGGCGTTTATTGATTTAATGTTGTTTTTAACAAGTGGAATAGCTTTTACAATAAGATGTTTTGATGATTTATTCTAACTGATGCATTATTTTTTCTTTTCTCTACACCTGCTTCATGAAGAAATAAAGATTTGAGACACAGGTAATTAAAATAAATGCATAATCTAAAAATATTCATCATGTGTGCATGTCTAAATAGCATGCTAATGTGTCTGAAAACTGAGATTTGTTGTGCTTGTGTCCTATTCTTTTATACAGTTCATTGCATGTAGCAGAATTTTACCCTTTTTTCCCTTTCTATCAAAGTGTTTTCTTTCTTTTTTTTTTAACTCCAATTACTTTACCAGCAATGAACTATTCCCATTTCAACATGTTCACCAAGGTAACCATGCTGTTTGTCAGAGGATTTTATTAAGAGACATTCTCCCATTTACCCTATTTCCATAGCAACAGTCCAAGCCATAGGTACTACTTGGCTGTGGATCCGGTGTCGGGTTCTTTGTTTCTGTCAGACACCAACTCCCGGCAGATCTACCACATTCGCTCTCTGAATGGGGCACGACCGCTGCTGGATAACTCTCAGGTGGTGGCGGGGACGGGAGAGCAGTGCGTCCCGTTCGATGAGGCTCGCTGCGGTGATGAAGGCAAGGCAGTGGAAGCCACACTAATGAGCCCAAGAGGTGATGTTTTTTTTTTTTAAAGAAATATTCCGGTTTTCTTCTCGATCTGTGACTTGGGAGGAGCAGAAATGACACACAGTACTGCACCTTACTACATATTACATCCTGAACTTGTTCAGAGTTAGCTTTTACGCAAGACAAAGTTCCACACATTTCCACGCTGTGACGCTTCACAATTACGACTGAGACACATTTTTATTTTCCATGAACCTAGAAAGCATCAACATTTAATCCCTTAGACAGTTACCAGACGCTGTTATTTTCTATGCTATCATAAACCTCAGTAACCTGTAATTCTCTAGACTCCAGACATCGTTCTTAAAGCCCAGCATGGCCACTGATGTGAGGAAAATAAATGACACAGAAGGTAAAGAGAGATCGTAAGGTTAGCAGACTGCACTCAGAGACCGACTCTGCCTTCTTATCTCAGAATAAAACGCACTCTGACATGATCACCGTGACAGCGTGAATCAAACTGTAGCAGTCGAGCGGCACAGCGTCTTGACTCTTTTCCAGGTCATTGCTCCCACACACACAGACTACTAATTATTTTGCCTTTAAAAAAACACCTTGCTCTCTGGAATATCGGAATGAGAGGGAAATCAATCAATAAGATACTTGGGGAGCAGTGAAATTCTTTAGGAGAGTCTGCAGTGACATTGACGAGAATTTAAGAAGAAGAAAATTACCATAAATATTAGACAATAACAATAATAGATAATTCTGTCTCAACTGTCCTTTTAAAGGGGTCCTATTATGCTCTTTTACAAAGTCTTTATTTTGTTTTGGGGGTGTACTAGAACAGGCTCTCATACTAGATTGTTCGAAAAACACATTATTTTTCACATATTTTACATTATTACAACACCTCTCTCCCCAGTCTGGCATGAACGGCTCGAATAGTTCCTGTATCAAATGAAGGCTTCTGAAATACGAAATGTGCTGTGATTGGTTAGCTGGGCCAGTGTGTGTTGTGATTACCATAACTTACCATAGCGAGCTTCAGTGTAAATATTGCGTCAAACTCAAATCAATTTGAGCGAGATTTAAACCCGGATGATTGTACAGGGTTTCTGTGGGTCTTAAAAGTCTTAAATTTAGTTGTATCCAATTTAAGGCCTTAAAAAGTCTTAAATTGTACAAGAAAGTCTTAATTATGATTTCAAGAGGTCTTAAATTTGGGGACGGAAAGACCAGAATTGCGATATGGCTGAATGTGACAATTAAACTTCAAAAGGCTATGATTTCATTGAATAAACACTAGCGCTGCACGTTCAAAGTCCGGTGCTGCGCTGCTTTGTGTTCGGCCATTACCGGGGAAACATTTATATTTCTACCAAACACTCCACCTGTTGGCAGAGAATGAGCATTTTCAATAAAACTGTTGTTTTGTTCAGAGTTCAGACCGATGCAAAAATTTACCCATGTTTTTACCCTGCAAACAAGCAGAGCTTTAAATGTGAACTGGTGGATCGATATGAAGACAATGCATTATAAAAATCTAAACAGTATAGGGGTGTGCGATATGTATGGTCTGCGATAATATCGTAATTGTTGTTTTAAGGTTGTGCGATTTGATATTATCGAGAATATCGTGAAAAGCAAACAAAACACCTACAGAATGCGCGCATACATTACCTGAAGTCTAGCAGGTTAGACTAGTGAGTGTGCGTGCACATTTATAGTGCGTTCTTTCACTGCATTAATCAGTCTATTAAAATGCATTTAGAATTATCACATAATTCAAGATATGGGGCAGAAAGCGTATATATTTATATCATTTCATATAATTAATATCACACGAAAAGTGTTGTTTTTTCTCCAAAAGTCAGCATGATTAAAAATGTGATATTGATTTCTTACAACAGTTCAATAAACAAGAAGTTAATATTAAGAGACTTACGTTTTAGACACCATATTTCCTGTTTTTGCTCTATTTCTCCAACAAAAATAATTCCAAACACAGCCACAGTGCTGTTTTGCGTCTCTGAGCAACACTACAGTGTTTCGTTCCTGAATGAATCAACCATTTAAATGATTCGGTTCAATCCCAATGACTCACTTAACAGTGACTTGCTACCACCTACTGGCAGTTTTAATTTGACATTTAAGGTACCTTTTCATTTTTTAAATAATTTCAAACATCAGTTTTCAATGTTTTATGTTTAAAATATCAACAAATTATTTATGCATTTGTAATTGCAGGTTAAAGTATTCCATGTCCCTCAGAGCTGCATTAAACAATGTGTAAATACATCTAAATGCCACTTCTAATGCAGCTTCTGTGTTTCCTCTGCATTGCAAAGATAAATTTTTTTGATACTGATTTCATTTGCTTAGTAACAGCCCAAATGCAACAATTTGACTCAAAAGATGGTGCACACTTTTACAAAAAAAAATGGCTTAAAGATAAAAATGCCCATAAAACATGTTGGAAATGATTAATTTCTATCACTGCTGTGAACTGACCACACAGAATTTGAAGAATATGAAAACATTCAGGATTCAGCTGTCAGCACAATTAGAGATAAGATATCAGCACAATAACAAACTCTATAGCAAAATATTGTCTAATTATCGTTATCGATAAAATCCCAGAAAATTATCGAGATACCATTTTTTTGTCAATATCACACACCCCTAATTTATGTTATTTAATTGATATAATTTATTGATAATAATTGTTTAAATTAATATAACAATTAATACTTTTGACTCATCCATTTTCTTAAAAATTATTTAAAGGCTGAAATATAAAGTTTATCATTTTATAAAACTTTTTGTTTTTGTGAAAACTTGTTTCTGAACTATAAATTATGCTTTTTACAGTAATTTTACAGTTTAATATGGTACTATAGACATTGCCCCACCCCGCTCATATGGTATTCATTTTATTTGTGCATGTCTTAAAAAGGTCTTAAAATGGTCTTAAATTTGAGCTTAAAAATCCTGCAGAAACCCTGTTGTAACTACTCCAAGTTAGTCTGCCTTGGGAAAGCTAGCGTGTCTCCGACATAGTGATAGCACTCGTTGCCTTCTCTAGTGCAGCTCAGCCAGGTCTCGTCCCATTCGTCGATCTTTGTGATATCACAAATCCCGGAAAATATGCGTTGTAGTCCAAACGAGTCATTCGTTGGTAGTTTTTGAAAAGTGATTTCTGTTAAATAAAATATCTACTTTTGAAGTGGACTTTGAGCTTTGTAACTTTGCAGATATTTTTTTTGCTCAAACAGCAACATTACAGACTAACTAAAGTTGAAAAAGTACCTTTAATACCTGGTGGATGTTTTCTACATTGTTGCAATCATACAATTTATAACGTTATCATGCACAAGTATTGAGTTTCTTCACTGTCGGTTCTTTCATGCAGGTGTTGCATTGGATAAGAACGGCCTGATGTACTTTGTGGATGCTACCATGATACGAAAAGTGGATCAGAATGGCATTATCTCCACTCTGATAAAGACCAATGACCTGACTGCAGTCAGGCCCCTCAGCTGTGACTCCAGCATGGATGTCAGCCAGGTTATAATTACTTTTCTCAACTCTCTAGCCCTTGCACTTGTTGAGAGTCTATCAAGAGAGGTTCAGGCTCCTAAAAATAAATGAACAGTTGTTGAAATCTGTGCTAAAGTGCCTAGCTCAGATGCCCTATAATTTGTATAGATGTATTGCATCTTATTTGAATTTGTAGTGTGTGCAAGTTCAAATTAACTTCTTGAATATCACATACATACCCTGACCAATCTCAATGGATAGGAAAATCACTCAGCTTCATTTGTCAGTTGTTTAGGTAATTTGTAATGCAGAAGCAATGAAATTTGTGTCCTTACATAGAAACAATCCATTAAAACTAACATAGTTAATTATCAAGGTTATTTTATAAAGTCAGAGAGAGAGAATTTGTTTACCAGAGTATATTATAAATTATTTTGAGCAAGTTTGATGGCACCCTATATAAATTAATATTGATTAAAAAAACACACACATTTGATTGATTGTCATCGTTGATGTTTTAATGTAGAGGTTTTGACAATGTAAATATACAGTGAAAAGAACAGTAAAACTAAGGAAATAGGCTAACTGTTTAAGCTAAATAAATTTAACAAGTAACTCACTGAATACAATTTTTTTAACAATTTACAGGCCCCATGAAGCATAAAGATATACTGTCAAATACAGTTGTGTAAACACATTTCAGCCTGTTTATTTCAGTTTGCATGAAATGCGTTTTTCTTCAAGTTTCATCCTTGCGTCTTTGAGCTTGCGCTCGCCAATATTTGCTTGTCAGAGTGTCTCCTTGGGTATTAACGTTTGACAATGACAGTGACAAACAATGGAACTGGATTATCAATCAAGCAGCTGTCATCATTTGTCTATCACTGTAATAAATTCATAGGCCTGCAGATTCGTTCCACTCGGAAGAATCTGTAACACATAATCTTTTTTTTTAAATGCCAGTAGGAAATCTACTGTCAGAAATGGGAAATGCATTCAGTTTGTCCAGAAGCAAGGATAAAACAGATCCCCTTTGGGGATCAAACGAACAGAAAGGGAGATATCAAAAGCAGAGGCAGGGAAATCCCACTGGGCAAAGCTGAATTTATACTCGAAGACCACAACTGCTCAGCATGCCCAATTATTGTCATTTTTTGTGTTAATGTACTCTTCACATTTAATGTTTCTTAACATCAGGTACGTCTGGAGTGGCCTACAGACCTGGCCATCAACCCTATGGACAACTCTCTGTATGTGCTGGAGAATAACGTCATCCTGCGTATCTCTGAGAACCACCAGGTCAGCATTATTGCAGGGCGGCCCATGCACTGTCAGGTCCCTGGCATTGATTACTCGCTCAGCAAACTAGCCATCCATTCTGCCTTGGAGAGCGCCACAGCCATCGCCATCTCCCACACAGGTGTGCTCTATATTGCCGAAACCGACGAGAAGCGCATCAACCGCATACGGCAAGTTAGCACCAGCGGCGAGATCTCCCTGCTTGCTGGCGCTGCCTCTGAATGCGACTGCAAGAATGACGTCAACTGCAACTGTTTCTCAGGAGATGAGGGCTACGCTGCGGACGCCAGCCTCAATTGTCCTGCTTCGTTGGCTGTGTCACCAGATGGTACTCTGTACATCGCTGACCTGAACAACATCCGTGTACGTTCGGTCCGCAGTAACCGCCCTAACGCCACAGCAAGTGGACAGTATGAAGTGGGTTCATCTATGGAACAGGAGCTATATGTGTTTGGTCCAGACGGTCTTCATAGGCAAACAGTTAGCCTCATTACAGGCTTGGCCCTGTATAACTTTACCTACGGGCTGGATGGAGAGTTGGCAGCAGTTACCGATGCCTCTAACAATACACTCCGGGTGAGGAGGGAGGCGTCTGGCTCTATCAGGCTTGTGCTGTTGCCAGAGAACCAGGTGGTAACGCTGGGAATGGACCCAGCCGGCAGCCTACGTTCAGTGTCCGCCCTCAGCCAGGAAGTGGCACAGCTCAGTTATTACACTAACACAGAACTTTTAGCCTCCAAGTCAGATGAGACTGGATGGACAAACTTTTACAAGTGAGTATGAAATGTGCAGTGTGACGATAGAACTTTGAGACAAAGGCAGATCTGGAAATCTTAAAGAGCAGGTCATATGGTATTTTAAAGTGTCCTAATATTGAGTTGGAGTCCCCCACAACAGGTTTATGCAAGGTCAGAAAACATTGTAATTTTCTCAGAATATACATTTAATATTAGAGTCATTTGCCAATGATTTCTAAACGGTTTGTTCCGAGCAAGTTCAGAGCAAATTAAGACCAAATTAAGAAGATTAGAAGTCAACAAAGATAAAAGCCAAGATTAGAGAAGCAGTCCTTGGTAAAATGACATGCACACAACAAAAGGTTCGAATTGTGTTTCTGTGGTATCCTTCAACACAGCGTCTTCTCGACATTATGTAAACACACTAACTACTGGAAGTGTTTGTGGGCAGGTCAGACTCTGTTCGTATTTCGCGGGCAGGCGGGGATTATGCAAATGTGTTACTCAGTGACGTATACCGGTAACAGGCAAAAGATTCGAAAATATGACGACTCATTAAGGCGATTCAGAATCGACTCTCTCTTTTGAGAGACAGTATCTTTATTTATCATGCACTTTTTTGATTAACAACTTTGCAGACGGTTTTCATTTAAGGATAGCTACGTTTTAAACTGCAAAAGATATATTTTTCAAACCCCATATGACCTGCTCTTTAAGGAAATTAATTTAAAACACTCCAAAACACACACACACACACAAAATAAAAACTCATTAGTCGCAGAATTTCAGGGGGAATTCAATAAGAATAACTTTCTTACGATAAGGGTAATAACTGCACTAGATCTCTAGACATGTGTTTGGTTATTATTTGATGAATAACTGCTGCAATATGCAGGGAAATCTCTTTTTAATGAAATTCTGTTTACATCTGCTTTTTGTGGGTAGTAATAACACCATGCTTATTGGGCAATGTTAATAAAATAATCTATATTAAACCCAATTTACATGGTTTGTTTGCACTGAAATGATTGATATTGACTTAATTTAAAATGACCTAGTGATATTTCAGCACATTTAGTACTTTGTTAAGCTATATAGAGAATATAATGCTGGTTTTTGTGGTCAAATTTTGAGTGTAAAAGGTGCGACTGTTCAAAATTTGCCCCCAGTGTCTCATGGATGTTGTTATAGACAATGAATTTTGAATTCTTTTGTTTCTAAGCATTGTGTTTATCATCTGACTTGAATCCTCATCTAGTGACAGAGCAGAGGATGTTTTCACAGCACCACTTTGGTCCTGCAGCCATCTAGTGTCTGTATGATTGAACTGCTCTAGACATTTAAATAGATGTACAGTTGTGGTTGTTTCAAACTGTGTTTTATTTTATATGTACAAACACACACACACACACGTATACATATATATATATATATATATATATATATATATATATATATATATATATTTGTATATACACGCACACTGTGTATGTGTATAATTTGAGCTTTTTTTCAATTACCAGTCGTTTTTGGCAACTGAAAAAGCTGAAATAAAATACAAATATTAGATGAAAAACTTCAAATTAAAAAACCGGCCTTGTTGCTTGTTGAAAAGTTGAAGTACTACAATCACTGAAATTAAACTGAAATTTTAAAAAAGGTATATAGGAAGATAAAAAATGACAAAAGCACGTAACAAAATTCCTAAAACTAAAAAAACTCAAATTAAAAAGAGAATACAAATAAAAGCTCATTTAAAATATTACATATATTTTAATAATATATAAATAGTACTAAAATGACACTGGTTTCAAACTATTTAAAACATTAAAAATTAATCATAAATTAATTCAAGAAATAATTGTGCAAAGACAGTGCTGGCTATTTATTGTATTCATATTAGTGAGTTTTGTCTTGTGCGCCTTCTTCTCAGCTATGACAGTGAAGGTCGTCTAACCAACGTCACATATCCCACTGGTGTGGTGACCAGTCTGCATCGTGAGATGGAGGAGACCATCAATATTGACATGGAGAGCTCAAACAGAGATGATGATGTCACGGTCATCACTAATCTCTCGTCCGTAGAGGCGTCCTACACTGTGGTTCAAGGTACACACCCACAACACACAAAGAACGTATCTCAGTCCAGAGCTCATGCTGATGCCCCCCGTTTCCCCTCTAAACCACATCCATTAAGACCAAAACACACAGCAGGCAGGTAGACTGATGTTTCTCTTTACTACCCACAGGGAGGCCACATTGTTTGAATGTGCGGAGTCCAGCAGAGCAGAGAAATCATCATTTTACAATTTACCATAGGCTACCTTTAGGGGTTCTTTCAGAAGGCAAAAGCTTGAAGGCATAAACTCTTCTTTTTATATCCAGTGGATTATGTGTTGATGGATTCTCTCACGCAATTTACTTGTAACTTCCTGTAAAGAGCATGCTTTTGCTGTTTACTCAAGACAAATTACATGAAAACCAACCCTTTGGGTGCCTTCTGCTTGTTAGCAGTGTACCAAAATGCACTTGGATTTTTTTATGACTTTGAAATTGTACATGATTGTGTTTCCCAGGTACATTTCTGTGGAAAACAGCGTCTGATCCAATTATAGCTTGTAAATGGAACTGAAGATGTTTGTGCTGCTTTTAGCCAAAGCTAAATCTTCTTTATAACCAAAAACTGCATTATACACATCTGCCCCAGAAAGTTGCGTTTCCCCTAATGCACAATAGACAGTCAGATCAGAACTAATGCTTCATACTAAATTAAATGAGGCTGGTTTTAGGGAACACTTCATATTAACTCACCTTAATACAAACATACTTCACAGATAGATAATATTTAGTGTACATAAATGCCATGAAACAATATTTATATATTTTCACAAGCATTTCACTACCGTTTAAAAGTTTGATGTCAGTATGATTTTATCTGACTGGACTTCTCTGGATATTTTAGATGTTAGGATATATGATTTTGTTTTATTATTCTTTTTTTTCAGTTTTACTTAAAAAACTTATTTGACCATTTAAAACCATTCAAATGTTTGTGGTCAGTTTTTTTTTTTTTTTTTGAAGTAGAAAATAACACTTTTATTCCGCATGGATGCATTCATTTAAAAAATAAAAGTTACAGTAAAGTAATTTATAATGTTACAAAATATTTTTTATTTATTTTTACTTTTTAAATTAAAAATCATCAAAGAACCCTAAAAAACTCTTATCAAAGTTTTCACAAAAATATTAAACAGCAAAACATGTTTTAACGTTTATAATATGTAATGTTTCTTGGGCACCAAATCAGCAAATTAGAATGATTTCTGAAGGATCATGTGACACTGAAAACTGGAATAATGATACTAAAATATTCAGCCTTGCATCACCGGAATAATTTACATTTTAAAATACTTTAAGATATAAACCAGTTATTTTAAATTACTTTTTTTTTTTACTGTATTTTTGATCAAATAAAAAAACTAAAGACTAAAAAAAAAAACTTAACTAAACTTTTAAGCAGTAGTGTATATGTGTACATTCATAATGATATTTGAAATATTATATAATGTTTGCTTATAATGTACTATTTAAAGTATATAATCTGATTTTATAATTCTTTGCCGACCTATATTCTTTTTTGCCTTTTCACAGACCAAGTGAGGAATAGCTATCAGTTGTACCACAACGGCACACTGCGAGTGTCCTATGCTAATGGAATGGGCATCAGCTTTCACACTGAACCGCACATCATTGCAGGATCGGTGAGCCCGACCATCGGGAGACGCAACATCACTCTACCCACTGACAGCGGCCTCAACTCTATCGAATGGCGCATGAGAAAAGAGCTGACCAAGGGCAAGGTCACCGTGTTTGGCAGGAAGTTGCGCGTAAGCTTTTTTTTTACCATTGAGTTGTCAAGTAAAGTCAATTTTATTTGTATAGCACTTTTCACACTACACGTTGTTTCAAAGCAGCTTTACAGAAATTCAGAATGTTAATGTTTATAATGTCTGAACTCATTTGGCAGTTTAGAGCTTGGCGATTGATTGGATAGTTTACATTCTGTGACAATATAAACAATCAATCACTTGAAATTTGCTAAGAAAACTGCCACATTTGATGTTTGAAGGGATAGTTTAGAGCTTCTAAAAATGTTAAATGTTTTCCCGCAGGTCCACAGCAGAAACCTTCTGTCCATTGACTATGACCGCAACACCAGAACAGAGAAGATCTACGATGACCACCGCAAGTTCACTCTGCGCATCATCTATGACGCCCAGGGCCGACCGGCCACCTGGCTCCCCAGCAGCAGCTTAGCCCTGGTCAATGTGTCTTATTCACCCACCAGCCGGTTGGTGGGCTTGCAGAGGGGCAGCATGAGCGAGAAAAGCGAGTTTGACACATTCGGACGGATCCTGTCCCGAACCTTTGTTGATGGGAAAGTTTGGAGCTTCAGCTACATGGACAAAGTGAGTTGACTCTTTTGAATCACAACAAAAGATTTGTTTTTCCTACACTGTTAATATACTCATTTTGTTCACCTTTTCATTGTTTTCTTTCTCTTTCACTCTGCAGTCCATGGTGTTGCTGCTCCAGCAGAGTCAGAAACAGTACGTCTTTGATTTTGACACAGCGGGCCGGCTCACGGCGGTCACTATGCCGAGCATGGCCAGACACACTATGGCCACCCACGTGTCTGTTGGTTACATTCGCAACACCTACAACCCCCCTGAGAGCAATGCCACCATTATCCACGACTTCAGCGAGGATGGGCGTCCACGCGCTACATTCTACCTCGGAATGGGCCGGCGTGTGCTCTACAAGTACGGGAAGCTCGGAAAGCTCTCGGAGGTGCTGTATGACGCCACTGCCGTCACCTTTGGTTATGATGAAGTGACTGGAGTGCTTAAAATGGTCAACTTACAGAGCGGAGGCTTCTCTTGCACCATTCGCTATCGCAAACTTGGCCCCCTAGTGGACAAACAGATGTACCGCTTCTCAGAGGAAGGAATGGTCAATGCTCGTTTTGACTACACCTATCATGACAACAGCTTCAGGGTGGCCAGCATAAAGCCAGTAATAGGGGAAACCCCACTTCCTGTGGACCTGTACCGCTACGATGAGATTTCCGGTAAGGTCGAACACTTTGGCAAGTTTGGCATCATATACTACGATATCAACCAAATCATTACCACGGCAGTGATGACGCTCAGTAAGCATTTTGACGCACATGGTCGCATCAAGGAAGTGCAGTACGAGATCTTCCGCTCGTTGATGTATTGGATGACGGTGCAGTATGACAGTATGGGTCGCGTAATTAAACGCGAACTAAAGATCGGTCCATATGCCAATACCACACAGTACCGCTACGAATATGATGGTGACGGCCAGCTTGTTGGTGTCAAGGTTGATGACTGGTCTACTTGGCGCTACAGCTACGACCTAAATGGCAATCTCCATTTGCTGAACCCAGGTAACAGCGCCCGTCTGCTGCCACTACGCTACGATCTTCGAGACCGAATCACGCGGCTCGGCGATATGCAGTATCAGCTCGATGAGGATGGTATGCTTGCACAGAGGGGCTCGGACATCTTTGAGTACAATTCCAAAGGTCTTCTTGAGCGAGCCTACAGCCGCATAGCAGGAGGTTGGAGCGTCCGCTACCGCTATGATGGCTTGGGTCGCCGTGTCTCCCGTAGAACTAATGAAGGCGAGCATCAGCAGTACTTCTACGCTGACTTGAACTACCCCACTCGGGTCACCCATGTTTACAACCACTCGAGAGCTGAAATCACCTCCTTCTACTATGACCTGCAGGGTCATCTATTTGCTATGGAGGTCAGTGGTGGGGACGAATACTACATCGCCTCTGACAACGTAGGCACTCCGCTGGCCATCTTCAGCAGCAATGGGCAGATGGTCAAGCAGATGCAGTACACGGCGTACGGAGAGATCTACCATGATTCCAACCTGGATTTCCAGCTCATATTGGGCTTTCATGGAGGGCTTTATGATCCTCTCACAAAGCTGGTGCACTTCGCCCAGAGAGACTACGATGTGCTGGCAGGAAGATGGATCGCACCTGACCATACATTGTGGCCAAAGATATGCAAAGAACCAGCTCCGTTCAACCTGTATATGTTTAAGAACAATAATCCACTCAGCGATATGATTGATGTGAAAAACTATGTGACAGGTGAGAGGGTGATCAAATGTTCTGCTTTGTATATATGGGCTGAGCTTAGAAGATATGTTCCTGTATAAAGTATAAATGACTCACATTGGTTCCTGTGACAGCTTGTGAAAGATTTTTTTCTCTGTTTTGTCTTGCAGATGTGAAGAGTTGGCTGGTTATGTTTGGCTTCCAGCTCAGCAACATCATTCCAGGATTTCCAAGACACTCGCTTTATTTTGTTGACCCTCCTTATGAGATACTTGCCAGTCAGGACTCTGATAACGTTCAGGTCAGTTTGATTTGGCAATAATTTTTCAATTAAAATAGTTTGTCAACATTTGTTGAGCGAATGGCTTCACCATTTTACATTCAATAATTTTACTGACCACATAATGTTTAGAATTATCAGATTATACTCCATGTATTTTTGGGTCAAATACGTTTTGGAGGATAAAATGTCAAAATTTGGTTGAAATAATGTTATATTGTCATTCAGTGTAACACAATATTTATGTAAAAATTCAAACAACATGCTTATTCTGACGTGTACATATTAAAATATATAAAAGAATAAGGGAGCATATTAAATTTTATTGTGTTTTAAATGAGTAAAAAATTCTTACTGACAATTGGGCAAAACCTAGGATAGTGGCAAATTAAAAATTACAACTAATTAGTATTTGGGGTGAAAGTAATTAGTCTTTTAATATGTCATAAATTGATTTTTGTTGTAAATATGCCTGACAAGATTGTTACACTGAATGACATTTTAGTGGGTCTCTTCTGTAAATCAGGGACAAATGTATGATATTCATTTTTTGCTCAGAACAACAAAAACAAAATTGCAATTAAATTAAACAGAAAACTTTTAAATTTTTTGTGGGAAAACAACAGCAATTTAAAGCAGTATTACACTTATTGTTTTTATGCTCAAACCCTTTTTCGTCTTTGACCCTTTTATATATACTCTCAGTATTTAGATTTTTTATTTTAAGTGTTTTTTTTCTTTACAAAAAAAGTTATTATTCACAAAAATATTGTTTAAACAAATTTATGAAGACATTTTGCAAAATGTTTTTGTTAAAAATACATTCACTACCATTCAAAACTTTTGGTTCAGTATAGTTCAAAACAGTAAGACTTTTTTTCAGCTATGAAGCATTAAACTGACAAAATGTTAAAGTAATTTATAATGTTACAAAATACTTCAATTTCAAATAAATGCTGTTCAAGCTTTGAACTTGAACTACTCCTCAAAAGAAAAAGTATCATGGTTTACACAAAAATATTAAGCATGTGCAACTGTTATAAGAAGAAAAGTTTCTTGAGCACAAAATCTGCATATTAGAATGATTTCTGAAGCATCATGTGACACTGAAGTCTGGAGTAATAGCTTTGTTATCACAGGAATAAATTATATTTTAAAATAGATTAAAAAAGAAAAAAGTTATTTTAAATTGCAATTGTATTTCATAATATTACCGTTTTACTGTATTTTTGATCGAATGCAGCTTTGGTGAACATACAAGACTTCCTTCAAAAACATTAAGTCTCAAAAACCTCAAACTTTTGAACAGTAGTGATTGTTTAAAAAAAATTTATTTTTTGCAATTTCAACAAAATCGCATTTATGTTAGCCAGCTAAATAACATTATCCTCCTGACAAATCTGCAGGATTTGCAACAACAATGTAGAATACATAGAGGAAAACCAATTTGTAAGGCAATAGAATGGACAAAAAAACTACAACAACAAATGTAACATTTTTAGTGTCTGCATAGTCAGCACGTCCCTGGTCTAAAGGGACAAAAGACTTTTCTGTCAAATTGTCTGAAATGCTCTCACGCATACTGTACCTTAGACAAATCAGACAACCTAGAATTGAAAGTGACCATATGTATCATATTACTGCTGAACCACTTTTATCAGGTGTCACTAACTGTTCACCCATTTTACAGCTGTTCACTGGAGTTCAGCATTCAGTGGACAGACACAACCAGGCCTTCATGGTTCTGGAGGGGAGGCGGCTCAACAAACAGCGGCGCACCAAGCGCGACAAGCCCGGTTACTGGTTTGGCACCAGCACACCCATCGTAGGCAAAGGCATGATGATCGCTATCAAAGATGGTCACGTATTAACAGACCTGTCCAGCTCAGCTAGCGAAGACAGTCGCAAAATATCACAGATCCTCAGCAACTCCATCTACCTGGACGGCACACATTACACCATAGATGGACGAGACTGCCACTTCTTCGTGAAGCTTGGACTGGCTGACAGCGACCTGTTGGCCCTGGGTCTCAGCAGCGGCCATAAGACGCTGGAGAGCGGGATCAACGTGACGGTCAGCGGGCGATCCCGCCGGGGCGTCACTTTAGAAATCCACTCCGCCAAACTCACATACAGCGTCCGGTATGGGCTGTCAGCAGAGGTTCTGGAAAAGGAGCGGAGCCGCCTGCTGGAACAAGCCCACCAGAGGGCGCTGTCTGGAGCCTGGGCCAGGGAGCAACAGCAAGTGCGTGAAGGCAGGGAAGGAGGACGCGTGTGGGCTGAAAATGAGAAGCAACAACTGTTAGCCATGGGGAAGGTCGCGGGCTACGAGGGCTACTACGTGCTCCCGGTAGAGCAGTACCCTGAACTGGCGGACAGCAGCGCTAACATCCAGTTCCTCAAACAGAACGAGATGGGCAGGAGGTAACAGAGTTTAGCCGTCGCTGATGCCACACCATCTCCTACGGAGAGAAGCAACAGAGCGCTGCAAAGACGTTTCCAAAAAATGGAGAACCAACAGCCAGCAGCAAGAACACTATGACCCAATATTGGAAAAAAGCACTTGTGAACAATGATTTTGTAGTTACCTTTTGACTTTATAGAAAGTGGTAAATATTTTTTAGTCATTTTGGACTGGCTGTGAGTGGCGGACATTCATGTGATGGTAGTGTGATGGCTCACTGCTTTGGTTTTTCGTGACTGCATATCAAACCATCACAGAAAAACACAATCAGTTCACCACACTCTCATGCCGCAGTGCTCAATAAAACAGCATCACTTGCTCCCATACGTGTTTGTGAAACTACACTGGAACATACTCAAAAGGAACGTCAGCGTCTCGACACTTTCAGTCTCGTTCCTCATGAATTTTCTCGGTATACGTCGATGCAGTGTTCGGTATTAAGATTTTAATCGCGCCGTGTGAGGCTGAGCTTTCGGATTGGCCTTCGTTAGATGTGTTAATCATCAGCTCACACCGTCTGTCCTCTTCTGTTCGCAATATATGACAATCACAGGGGCTGATACATTGATCAAAAAACTGTACATGAGCCAACCGTTTTGTATAATATGTAAGAGATTATTGATTGTCTGATTTTTTTTATTATTTTATTAATTTAAATTCAACTTGGCAAGTGAAAACAGATGAAAGCGTAATATATATTGTTTTTTTAAGTCTTTTAAAACTGTGAAACATATTACACATGTAAAATATTCTCATTGACTCGACAGTTTGGGTGTATCAAATCAAGAACATTTCTTCGAGGAAGTGGCTTCATCACTGCGTTGTGTGAAAATCCATTGCAAGACTCATCGCAGAGGTCGATATCTTTGAATATTACGAAAGCTAAAGCAGCCATTGGCCATTTTTTCTTGGTGTAGAATCTCTTCTGAATGTGGTAAGTCAGTGTGGATATGAGCTTTAACTTGCAAAGTCACACTCGAGACACCTGTGGAAGGAGGTTCTTTGGAAACTCTATGAAAATAAAACATTTGCATTTGTACTTTTTGAATTTGAATTACTTCCTTTACAGCTGAGCAGAACGATTGTTTCATTATTCCCATAAAGGAAATTTAATGAAAATATCTTAAGAGCAGTACACCGTAGACCAACCTCAATCAGAAAGATTTCTGTCTAAAAGAAAATGGTTATTGAAGTGTAGATGGTTCTATTTTTGAATTGGGAAAACCTTTTTTTATTTCTAAAGTATGATTTGGTCTGGATTTGTTTGTACTTGTGACTTAAAAATCAGCCAACATGAATCTAAAAAAGTTTCATGAAAACTGCATTCTGTCTAACAGATTCTTTTCAGTCTAAAAGTGCAAGCATAATGCTCTACATTTAAGTCTATATAGTAATTTACTCAGACTCAGAGAGCAATGACTTGTCCTGTTATTCCCTTATCCAGAATTGGTAGTTAAAATGGAACTAGAAGTCAAAACCGTGATTGTCTGTGGCCAGTGAGGTGGAATGGCACTCAGTTCAGAACATCAGGAAGTGTTTTGTAAAGACGGCAAGGACTGACATAAACAGAATTCTGACCTTTTGAAAAAATTACTACCGTTGAATTGAAACAATATAGTAATTATTCATCGTTTTGCTGTTATTTCCATGATGTTTTAAGACTGAACGGCCAATGATTAGACCGGCTGTAGGTGTCATTGCTGACAGTGAGAAAATGTTAAACACAGCTTTGCTTTAAATAGCCTGTTGCAGTGCAGGTGTTAAGTTTACACCCATGGGAACCACTTCCAGTGAAGTGATGCACACTGGTGCTGGGGGAAGGGATCACTCAAGAGTGTTGCACTTTTCTCTCGAGATTCTGCCAAGTACATGTTGAAAAACTCAAAACAAACAAGGGATGTCGTCAAATCGTAAATTCTGCTTACCAGAAACTTGATGCGTCTTGAAATTTGGTCACCCTGTGTATTTCAACACACATAAGTAAAAAAAAAGGCTCCAGCAAAGCCATGAGGTCAACATATATACAGGTTCTTTATTTATGAACATAAATACAACCACCTATCCTATCTCATTTAGTTACAGTTTCACATTAACTTTCTAGCTGAAAATGCAGACAGAAAAAAAGCAGATAATAAATTAGCCAATAATAAGTTGAATGTTTTATACTTTGTGGCAAAGGTTCAGGTCTGTTCCCTCATATTGTGTTTAAAATTATGTGCAATTAAATGTTCAGAGTAGTATTTTTGCTTCACAGGGGCAAAGGAGATAAATGTTTTTTGTTAAATGTTACATTTAGTTTCCGTTTGTAAAAAAGAAAACACTTTTCAATATTTAAATATGGCCTCCTATCAGTTTAATATGCTGAAACTATAAGTTGGTTTCCTAAAAAAAAAAAAAAAAAGTGTAAACACTGTGGCTCTATAGTGTTTTCATAACATTAGTTTTGTTTGAGCACCCAGACCATCTTGAACAGGCCACACTGACTCAACACAACACAACCAGAAAATTTGTTTGAAAATCATTATTATTTTTGGACATCCATTTGGTGTATGTTAGTAGTGCAGAAACAACACAAAGCACATTTTGAGTAAACAAAAGCCTTATTTCCATTATTTTATTTAACAGAAACAAACTTTTTCTGTGATTGACTCATATTAAGTCAGCTCAAACATTCAAGGCCATATTTGATTATCAAATCTGGTCTATAAACAAGCTAAATTTAAATGTTTGCATTCATTAATGAAGATGACATCCATATTATTTTCAAAAGACAAATAATAAAAACATTCAGTTTAATAAGCCTCCACAAATAAGATCGACGCAAGTAATCAGTCTCTCAGTGCGTATCGTGCATCATTGAAGGAATAAAAAGTGGTGCTCCAAGCTGGACTACTGGAAATGGAATCTACAACCAAAACATTACTCTATTTGTTTCTTAATTACTTTTTCAGTAGTCACACATAAATAAGGATCGAAACGTGGAGTGAAAGAGCTTTACAAATAAAAGAGAGACTCATAGTGGTTTCCTTATTATTCTAGGTCAACATGTCCCAGAGACAGCAGCAACATAGAGCCGTCCAACATGCAGTTAGACATGTCTGCGCCCCAGAATCATCCCGCCTGCCCTGCTCCACAACATACACTGGAGAAAAAACACAGAGATGGAGAAAAACACTGCTCAGAATGGCAACAGTATGAACTTTGCAAGTAGATTATAAATGACATGTTTTTCAATTGGTCTCAGAAGGTCTCCACTGTATGCGAAAGTCCATTAGACATTTAATTTACACCCAATTAAAATCTAGCTGAACATCTAATTAACACGTAATTTAAAAACCAAGCAGGTCACAGAAGCTAAACAATTTCATTATGTAATTTAAACAGCTAAAAACATACTGCAATCTTCGGACTTGTGTCAACCTCCTATTAAACTCGATAAAATGCACCAAGAAAAATAATAATTTACATACTGTACAACTGAAATGATTACATGACTGTTGCAGAAACTATGAGCAACAAACATTTCCACTAACTGTGCAAGCTGTGTTTTGTGTAAATCTGTTGACCTCACTGTTATAAATGAGGACGTTTATGAGGAAGTTAAGAGCGAATCTAACCTGAATAATGTAAAAATGAAAATGTGTTCAATATGACAGGAAATCAAGGATCTTACCAGAGTTTTTAGGAGGTTCCCCGTACACTGGGCCACCATACTGTGGTTGTGGGTACCCCTGGTATCCTGGCTGGACCGGGTATGACCCAGGGGGTCCAGGAGGGTAGTTTGGGTAACCAGGGTTGGGCTGGTCAGTATTGACTGGATATCCTTGGTACGGCTGTGCAGGATATCCCTGAGGAGGATATCCTTGAGGAGGGTACCCGGGAGCAGCGGGAGGGGGGTATCCTGGAGCGGTGGGGCCCGGCCCCATGTAAGGGGGAGGCTGCTCGTAATTCATCTGCACTCTGCTGATGAGGGGACGACCTGGGAGAGAGCAATGAAGTTATACAACTTGTTTAAGACATGTGACATCAAGTTCACCTTTGGTTCTCTCATCATCTTAAACTTACAAAATGTATTACTCGGCAGTTAAGAGTTATTACAAAAACATTTTAAAAGGAGGTTAAAAAGTGCATTCATCTTTTTTTTTTTTTTTTTTAACAGTCTATGCATGCATCTAGCAGGATTATTATTACAGTTCACAAAAACTAAAACCAAACTAGCATTTATATATACAGTAAAAACAGTGATATTGTAAAATATTACACTTTTAAGTAACTTTTCTGTTTTTATATATTTTACTATGTAATTTGTTCCTGTGATGGCAAAGTTGAATTTTCACCAGCATTACTCAAGTCCCATGATTCTTCAGAAATGTGAATTTGTGAAATGTGAAAAGTGCTCAAGAATACTTATACTTTCTTATTATTATCTGTTGAAAAAAGTTGTGCTGCTATATCTTTGTGAAAACTAAAATATTTTTAGGATGATAAATAGGAAGTTAAAAAACACCATTCATTTGAATTAGCAATTGTTTGTAACGTTATAAATATTAGCTTATATTATAACTATAAATGTCTTTACTGTCACTTTTGATAAATGATATTGATGAATTTGTTTATCTCCTTGCTGAAAAAATTCTCAAAAAAATAAAAATAAATCGAACATACTACAAACTTTTATACAGTAGTATATTTCATAAAAACATACATAGTACACAGTAAAAAAGCATTTTTACTGTGCTTACTATGCGAGTGCCTAGATGTGGATTTTTTTTTTGTATTTTGCAACGGGATCCACTTTTCAATTTTGATATTTTGTTCCCTCCCTGGAGCACCCTATAGTTTTGCCTGAGACTACCTGATGCACCCCTGGTCAAGATTTTTTATTTGATACATAGCAAAGTATTCAAGAGATAAACATATGTATATAGATTAACCAGTAGATCTCAACTGCATATTTAAAAAATACAACGAGGCTATAAAGGAACAAAAGTAGTCATACGGATATTTCAATCACATAATTTTAGGCATTGCATTTAGAGAAAAAAAATTTGAAGAGGCAGTCTCTTTACTCCATTAAATATGATACACTGATCTAAATCAGTGGACGCATCACATTACGTTGAGTCATAATTTCTAAATATCACAGAGCACATGGGCCAAAAACACCTCTTTAAATGATCAGTGAATATTTCACATGAACAGGAATATTTGGTCAATGGAAATGGCATCAGCTCTGACAAATACACTTACAACAGCAATGAGTGAACTGAGAGTATTTGATCTAGCTTGAAGTCAAACAGTGCTCTCTTGACTCAGTGATGGTAAATTATTCACTTAATGGCTCTTAATGGAACAAGCTGGCAATGCATTGCTCAAACAACACAGAGACAATACTGAACGAAATGATTAATACACACACAGCAAATCCACTTTAAACAGTTTGTTTCCCTAAAAACGATTGCTGTGAATCCGGACAATATACTGTCAGAAAATCATAATTCATTACTGTATGTTTAACTTCTGCTTTGAAACCCCATCAAATGTATAATTGAACAGGGACATATCCACTTAACATGTATTAAACTGTGTTTTAGAAGCCTCCAGGAAGAAGGCCATGGACCCAATAAAAAAAAAAGAATGATAATCATGTAATGTGCACAAAGTTATTGAAAACATTTCACTAACTCACTCCGATAATTAAAGGGCAAATGACTAATAAAAATATCAGAAGGAGCAAAGTACACTCTGGTAATTAGCTAAACTAAGACACACCAACTGAAATGAGCGGACTCTGGCAGAAGAATGATGGAAAGTCTCAAGTGCATCTATTGTTTTTGACCTGTACATTAACAAGCCTCACTCTCTATGACATTGAATGCAGTATAGTGTTACAGAAACTGCAGTAATAATGAGAATCAGGCGACTGCTCTGGACCGGATTCATTCACAACAAGACGATTGTTCACCTGCTGCCAAACAAAGGTCAGGATCTCGTGCGCCCACGCGAATAAATGTGCGACACATTATGAAAACACAGCAGTTTACACTACAAACACCAAAACTGGAATAATCATGAAATACGTTATATCTTCCATGACTTATAATAATAGAACAGCATCATATCATCACGAAGAAAGACAAAAATACATTTCATTTTGTGTACGCCATACTATGTTTAGAAGAAAATGGAGGGGCGGTAAGACCCTGAAGACCAACCCTAACGTTACCATTCAGTAGCCTAGTCAATGTTTGACAGGATCAACAAACATATATATTCGCTGTCTAAAAATACTAAATAATATATAGAAAGAAACAATTCATTAATTAGTTAATATATTTTCATAGAAAAGGCAGAGAAGTGTTCTTTTCCTTACCTTTGAAAGGAAAAAATGAGTTTCTTTGCACCGAATTGCTCTGTTAGTACTTCCTCTGTTGTATTTCAGTGTTTTGTTGTTTTATTATTTCGTCGCTGAAGTCGGCCGTAAACCGCTGAAGCTGCAACCACGAACAAAATAACGCTTCTCGATTCGGTCAGAACGGACGCGGTGATGTCACGTAGACAGCGGCGCGCGGACTCCCTCCCGGTTACTCCCGGTAATATCAGCTGACCGCTATACAGCAGCGCGTGCAGCGCAGAGCCGTGGAGAGACCCCGCCTCTATGACGACACGTCACCACCACACAAGTGTCACGAGTTTTGATAACACATTTTTAAAGAGTTGGAAAATTACTTGTGTACTATTCTACATATTACTAATAGAAAGGCAATTAAAACTGTCAGTTTGTGTTCTGTCTTCAAAATTTTTGAGTAATGTAAAGGTCATGCATGTCTCCGATTGTGTGTGTGTGTATGTATATATATATATATTCTTTCTTTTATCCTTTGTTACCCTGGCTTTGTATTGTTTTGTATATGTCGTTTAAAGCATAATAAATAAATAAAAAGTTTTGATAACACAAGTTTTTAAAATAACGTTTAATCTTATATGGTATTACAAGATATCATATTCGACTTTTAAAAATGCTCTAATTAATCTCAGGCACTTAAACGTTATTAATAATACATCGACTACACAATGGCAAGGTAATTCACATGTTTTTAAATACCGATTACGGTCATTTTATGAAACAGGATGGAATATTTTTTTTAATTGATATAAACCATCCAAATAAAACAAAACCTTACAGAATTTGTATTAGCTAGTAATACCAACAATTATGCAATTAAGGAACTGGCTTTTGTTAGGTAAAGCGATCTTACAAAAACCAACAAGACAACGGGAACGTTAATCATTTCATCATTTGTGATGGTTACATTTGAGAGAAACTAAATAATCGTCATTATTTACATTTACAGAATTATGTTTGTACAGTAATAATGAGGCAGGGTTACTGGCATACCTTTTAAGCCACAATTTCTTGACGCTGTGCTTTTAGAACAAAGTAATATCATGTTAAAACAGCTGCGGTTATCTCCAAGTGTTTGTAGCCTTATCTATCCTGAAATGACACTTATGTTAAATAAAGTATCCAGTTTATTATATAACTATAAAAAAGTAAATTAAAAAGAAAATAAATGCTCAAGAGATGAAGGCTTGATTTTATCAACCTTCCTGGTGCTTCAATCAGATTGCATTCTTTTGTCCTCAAGTAAATGTCTGATTTTTTTTTTTTAAGGAATAAACGAGGGAACAGCAGAAACTGAGGATATCATCTGTTCTTTTATCAAACATTCATGTCTTCAACTTGTCATTTACATAAAGCAATACAGTTAGGAAAGAAACACAAAGTACACTCAAGGCCAGACTCAGTAAACCGCAGTGCAATTTGCACAAAAACACATAAAGGTGAAATACCTGTTGGCTATAATAAATGTATACTTGAACATCAAACAACGCTGCTGGACTTGTAAAAAGCATGGGCCTTTTTTTAAATTCAGGACTGTGAAATAGGATTGGTGCTTCAGTGAAATATTGAAATGTTAAACATTTAAAGAGTGTGGCCCTGTTTTCTTCTTGAGTTTGGGATAGAGTTGTTGCCTTAATGAAAGACAGTCTGCCTCCATCGTTTGTCATGCTGGAAGGGCCAGAGGCTGTCCCGAATGGCAGTCTTGAAAGGGGTGGGTTCCGCACTCAGACCGAGGAGCTCCAGACGTGAGCACTCTAACTGGGCATTTTGTGGCCTTTGGGCCCCTGCTCCAGCAGGTTGCTCTGTCATCTACCCACACATACATATACCAGGTTAATGACCAAAACGAGTCAAAATGGATCATACCGAAACCAAATTTAGGAGAAAAGATGTGAAGTTACACATTACACAAGAAAAAGGCAGCATGTTTACATGAACAGACCACATTCTACATATAGCTATAATATGCATGTGGTTACAAGCAAGGGTAAGGAATGCACTGTATATACAGACTGTACTGACTGTAGGAAGGACAGAGGATATATTTAGGGCATCTTTTCAGCTTTTTGTTAACTCACTGGTATTAGATGACTGCTGGGCAGGTTGAAAGCATCTGCTATTGCACAGGCCATCTCATATTTGGTCATCTGCTCTTTGGCAGAGTAATGGAAGATTCCACGCAGTGACGGGTCCTGGGGGCAACAGAAACATGCTGTATTGAAAAGTCAAGTTGATTCTAGACTTAACTAGCTCAAGTAGATCATATATTGTGCATACATTCTCTACACGGGGGCACCACACAGTGACTTATTTCAATCCAGCTCTTGACCTAAACTGAGCTTGGCACTCCTGCTCACTCCGGCTCACCTGAAGGGCTCTCTCAGCCATGTTCCGGCAGACACGTGCCACATCATTAGTATAAGTGGGGAAGCGTTGCTGACAGTGGTCTATGGTGCAGCTCTCGGCTCCTTCCTGAACACGGTCCCACACCACGGTCACTGCGCTCTCTTCAACCTTCTCCACCTCTCCAAACAGAATGGGCACTCGTAGTACAGCTGCGCCTGCTTGGAGCAATAGATAGAGAACAGAGATGTTTTTAAAGGGAATATACATGTTATGCTCTCCTAAAACTGTAATATAGCAGCAGGCTTAACTCTATAAATGGCAGACAATAAAGCCTACTTTATGTTATTCGATTTGCAAAGGCCTGAAAGAGGCCTGAAAAACCTGTTGTACACAATCTACTACATCTGATTAATAGTTTATACTTTTTTGCAGGTATTTATTAGTATAATTCTAATAAATGTAAGGTTGTAGTACATGTGTCATTTTGTTGTGAAATCTTTACTGATGTTTATTTGTATATCTCTCAATCGACTTGTACTGCATTGCATTATGTTTTGCCTCCACAATAAAAACTAAATAAATTTCATCATTAAACTAAAGATTTAAATGATCATATTATTATCAACATATTATTGGGCGACACAGAGTGACAACTGATGCAGTGATATCCAAGTTGTCTGTTATGCTGTTATAAAGATCCTTCTGATTTACATTACAAGATATCAGAATTCCAGCTTACTTTTTGGCCATATAAATAAGATCTGCAACAAACTGCACATTTTGATCAGTTTGGGCCTTTGAATAAAATTTAGGCATTTTTCCTTAAATATGGGTTCCATATTGTACTATATCATACCATATGAGTCCTGATCAAAAATCCTCATCAAACTTTTTTTTAATGAATCAATGAACAGTTCCTTCAGACTGTTATTTTAGGTCAGGCTTTACAGGGTTAAATGTATTTCTTTTGCAGTGACGGCGTAACTAACCGTTTAGATCCTTTCAGAGGTGGTTGAAAAACAATATACCTGGGCAGTGTCTGAGAATCTCCCTTTCACCCTCTAGCTTGGACTTCCCATACAAATTCAAAGGATTAGGGGCATCGTTTTCTCCATAGGGAGGATTACGTCCATCAAAAACGTAATCTGTGCTGATATAGATGAGGAAGATGCCATCTGTGGGAAAGGTTTATGAAGAACTTTAATGAGTGATTTTTTTAACCATATCTAACACAGATTTGTCACTCTACTAACCTGCTTCTTTGGCCAGAGTAGAACATGCATGCACATTCAGGTTCATGGCTGCTTCAGTATGACGCTCCACCACATCTGGCCTCCTCTCAGCAGCACAGTGCACAATGACATGAGGCTGACATTAAAAAAAATTAAGAAAAATACTTGACATCAAACATGTACAGTATGAAAAAAATGTGTTGGTGGTAAGAGAATAGTAGTGGGTGATCTTACTGGTTAGGGTAATGAGTTACCTGAAACCCCTGAATGACCCCTCGCACTGCGTCTTCATCCAGGAGATTACACTTCAGGAAACAAGGCCGGGCACGGTTGTAGCCACACCCCAAAGCATCCCAGTCATTGTTCTTGAACTCTTTGTAAACAGCACGGCCCAGAAGCCCTGTTGCACCAGTCACAAGCACGCGCCGGTATGGAGTGTAGACTTCATCCTAAATAACAGAACCAAGTAAACATACCCTAGTAGTATGCATACATAGCTCAGATATGATGTTCCCATTTTTATCTGCAAGATGTCAGATGTTAAATTAACATTTAGATTTACTTTGGTAAAGATAGACTTTAAGAAGTTTATTGTTTAGAATGTATGTGAAACATTTAAAAAATATATATGTTTATGTTTGTAGTAGACAACAAATGCTTTTTCAGATGAAGCAATCTGGGTGAGTGGCATGTTTTCTTAATTTATGACTGCTGGAAAAATCAATCCATGGAACCCATTTTATAACACAAATGATCTTTGTATGTATCTAGATGTTTGTGGTAGAAAACAGATGCAATCTGGCTGAGTAGCATATTTTCTTAATAATTGATAATTGTATCCATGAGATGTATTTTATAACACACATGATCGTTGTGTCTATGAGATGTTTTATTTTATTATACTATTATTTTTTATTTTAAATACTGGATAGAACGATATCAAATCCGAGATGTGATTGACAATCTAAAAACCAATAAGAGTCGTCCCTCACAGAATCTGGACACGCCCCTACAACATCATTGGCAGACGATATCAATTCGCGGGGTTTAATGACAACTGATGGAAAAAGCCAGTGACTGTCGATGAGTAATTGGGTTTAGTGCGACGACTTTGCAAACAGCAAAACAAGCGAAGAAAGGTAAGATATTACAACGTTCTTGAGACGTTAAGTATCTAGCTTTTGTCGTGTTGATGAACTGTACTACTGAAGTTAAAGTTTAAGACTTTAAGCGGAGTACATGATACTAGACAGCATATACAGTTTACCTCAGATGTTGGATAGTCACTTGTTTCATTGTGTGAGGTAACTTATACTTAATATTTTGTTATTGTAAAGACGTTGTCTTGGTAATTGAAATTAGCCGTGTATAGGTTGTTATTTTTAGAAGAAATTCCACTTTTCAGTCCAAGTATACATTAGTGGATTTATATTTGTAACAGAAAGGAAGTAATTTTGTTTGAAGTACAAGTTCTTCACCGAGCTTATGGTGATATAGACAATTGGAAGTGGCCTTAGAAAATTACATCGGTGTTAAAATAGCTTTCACAGCCTCATACGTGAGCATACGCCCCTACAACCTTCCTCAACCAGCTAACCCTCTAAAACAAAAACAAAATTCGTAAATTACATGGTTTGCAAACGTTTGAAATCTGCAGCCTCACCAGCTGACACTCGAAATTTCTCGATGCTGTTGTGCAAGTGCAATCGATGCTGAAGCTGCAGCGCTCAGGTGTTTATTAGTCGCTGAAGCGCCACCCTCAGGACATTTAGTGGAACTACAGCTGGGTTGGATTTTGGTTGTAGAAAGTTTTCTCATTACAGATGTTCACAATCTATTTACACACCTTGTTGGCATAGATGATATTTTGCTCTAGACAGACATGCGATTTTAATTACATTTTACTGACTTGAAGTTGAATTTGTACAGATGAAATTAGGTTTTCCGTTTTATATATGCTTTCGAGCACATTTTACTGCAACTCGACATTTTAAATCAACTGACTTGTACCTAGACACTTAAAAGGGAACTGGTTAATAGAATTAACCTACAGAGGGCTTAAATGGCACTGTATACACACCAGTCTCAGAGTTTTAATGAGCCAAAAATGAAAAGGAAAAATATCATAAGCACTATCTGAATAATTTTTCAGGTAGCACTCATATTGCTTATAGTTTAGAGGGCTGGTAAACAATTCAAGCATAATCAGTTGCGTTCATCTGCTCGTCACAACTGAACTTAAAATATGCCAAAACGATAACACACGATCTGTGTTTCTTTTTGTATTAAACCAGAAAATGATACCGAATGGGTCGCTTTGAATTAAAAGGCATTTGTTTGAATTAAAGTTGCTTTGGCTTGTATACCATGGAGGTGCTGGAGGTCTTACCTGAACAAGCTCAACGTGCCCGGGTTTGAAATGTATCTTAAGCTCTTTATCTCTGATACTCATTTCAGTGTGGCTACTGTAAACATATCCTGGAGGAGAGACCTCTATTTCTAATGCGCCACTCAATCCTTAAACCCTCTTGGAACGGGTGGCTCGTGCTGTCAATTAGGCCCGCGTCCGATATGATCGATAGAACATACCCACGTAACTCTGACGCCTGTTTATGTTATGCAGATTAGTGAATCTCTATGCCATCCTTGCAGTGTAAACAACGGCTTTTGACCAAAACAAAGACAAGTGTTCTAGCGCATCATAGCCGCGCACTTTTGCGCAGTTCCTATGCGGCTGAGTTTCGCTTTAGTTCGCGTCAGCCGTTTTATGTTCCAGTATCTAAGACTATCATCGATATCATATGTCGGTATAATCACAAGTGAATATGTAATAGGAATGACAAAATACTGAAACACTCTATAGGAGTAAAACTTTAAAATAGATTAACGGCAGAATGAGAATGAGTTCTCAAAATAGAGCCAAAGCCGCCGATACTAAGCTAATAGCCATGAAACGTTAAACGGCTTGAATGAACCATTTACCAAAGAACAGAATTAACTGCTTTATTAGCTTCATACAGAGATGCAGCTGAAACCTCTAAATCTCTAAACCTATATTATTGAGGCTACATTAAATCACATACATGTCATTTAAATCCATGTGAAATTTACCTGATCATCCCTGTAGTTAAACCCGGGCATATTTGGATTATATGCAGGTGTAGTATGAAGCCTTTAGCATGAAAATGTTATTTGCAGTTCAATGGTGATTTCAGTATAAAAGTCCTGTTCTGTGTTCATATAGAAGTCCCAACTGTGGGCCATTTTATTCTTTCTTTCTTTTTCTTTCATTCTTTCTTTCTTTCTTTTTTTAAGATAATACCTGACTTTTATCCCAGTTAAATTTTCTGTAACAAATTGAATATAATTTTTTTTGTTGTTGTTGGGATAGGGTGAAAAGGGGTAACCCGGTATTTATGTTACTGGTTGACATTGTTTAAATGTTTCTGGCCTGTGTATTTAACTGGACTTTCTTAGTGTAATTAGTATTTTGAGAAGCGGGGGAAGAAAAGGTTGTTTCCGCCCGGTTTCGAACCGGGGACCTTTCGCGTGTTAGGCGAACGTGATAACCACTACACTACGGAAACCTTGTGCAAAGGGTTATGGGTATTACTAGTTTTCTCCATTTGCTGCTAATTTTATAGAATGTTATATTCTGAATAAATATTAAGAAATATTTCTTAGAAATTCAGCTTCTTAAAAATAATAAGAAAAGCAGCCAATCAGTATATAGGTTGTTTGCACATGATGTCACTGATGACGCGTGAAATGCAGCTGGAGGGCAGGAAGTGATTTTTTTCTCCACAGAAATCACTGGCAGAAACTCAAAATGCCTGTGTTTTGCGTTGTTTATGGATACTTAAATTGGCCAAACCGAGAAACCACAAGGAGCTTTTATCGTGTACGAAAATGTGTTGTTCATAAGTGGGGAAAAAGTCAAGAATTTGATTGAAAAACGCAGGAAAAAGTGGCTTGTAAACCTGTGTCTGCAGTCGGGAGGAGCGGAGACACCCTGTATCTATTTATATATTTCTTTATTCATATTTTAATATATTATTATCTTATATTAACCATTTGCACACACAAGCATTATCCGGCTTCGCATCTCCCGACCACAGACGCAGGTTTTCAAGCCACTTTTTCCAGAGTTTTTCATTCAAATTCTTGAATTTTCCCCCCTTATGAGCAACACATTTTTGTACACGATAAAAGCTCCTTGTGGTTTCTCGGTTTGTCTGATTTAAGCATCAATAAACAACACAAAACACAGGCATTTTGAGTTTCTGCCAGTGATTTCTATGGAGAAAAATCACTTCTTGCCCTCCAGCTGCATTTCGCGCGTCATCAGAATCACGTGATTGCAAACAACCTATTAGAATGATTTTGGTAGTATCACGTGACACAGAAGACTGGAGTAATTGCTGCTGTAAATTACGCTTTGCCTCACAAGAATAAATTATATTTTAAAATATATTTCAATAGAAAACTGTTATTTTAAACATAAATTGTTTTTTTATGTTTTCCAAATTTTGACAGGTACTGTACTATTAATTACCAGTAAAGGTAGGCAGTAAAACAAAAGCTAAGAAGAAAATGTATTTGTTTCCGCCCGGTTTCGAACCGGGGACCTTTCGCGTGTGAGGCGAACGTGATAACCACTACACTACGGAAACCACATGTCCTGTTTTCTTTGCATGTGGTATGATGTTCTATTGGGAATCTATCACACTTAGGCCATAGGTCATAGGCCATAAAGATACTTTACACATGAATGCAAATAGGAATATTTGGCAATATAGCTTAACTCAGTCATTAGTGTTTGATCTCTTAACATTGATGTGCGTTATTGTGACAGTAACACACCTCCGTACTCAAGGTGGCGCTAGAGTTAACTTCACATATTGGTTCTTTTTTTCATTCCAGATGTGATGGTAATAAGGTAGCCAAGTATAGACATGTCAACTTTAACTAACTTGCTTATTAAAGTCGGACACATTTGACAGCACAACACATGAAACTGACTTGTGAGGCTAGAAACATTTGCATTGATGTACTTGTGTAAAGTACATTTAGAGCACAAGAGCGTTAAAAATGTTTCTCTTAGACAAACTGCTGTAATTAAACATTTCCATATTTAAAATTTTTTTTACAGAGTGAAGGGAAAGCAACTGAACATAAAACAGTGCACGGTACAGAGTTATTCAGACAATGAGTCATTAAATGTAAAAATTATCCATTTTATTTACACACACTTCATATAATGCTCATTGAGGATGCAGACAACCCCACAAAAACAATGAATAGTCTAAAATACCAAAGTTGTTTTAGTTTATGAGGGATCTTATAAACAGACAAGACTAACGACAACTTTACATGATATCAGTTACTTTTTTCCACCACTCCACTGGTGTATTTTAGTGAGAAATGGAGCAAAAGACAGTAAGTCGTTTCCTATTGACCAAGTGAAAAGAGTTTCCTGAGTACAGATTTGTCCATATGTACACCAGTACAAATCCAGTGCAACGTCCACATTGCATTCCTCCCTATAGTACAGGTGAGCCCTTTCACTGGAAGCATCCAGTTGAACTGGCAAAGCATACTCCCTCCATGTAGCCCATTCAGTGTCTTTAGGGCTGAGATGGGTGCTTGGCTTTGCCACCCTGGCCTGAAGCCTCTTCCTTTCAAAGCAAACATTTAGCGAAGAATGGATGGGGTTGGTTGTTTCAAATGGCGCCCAGGAAAGTAAGACAGCCAGTGAAGAAGTAATCATTTGCAGACACAGTGGTCAGTCTGTTAGAAAGTTCAGGGTTATGTTCTCTCATTAAGGACAGCAGCAGCATTCTCTGTGCATCCACAAGCATTGAGTTCATGTCTCTTCTCAATATCAGTACAGTCTCAGCACCTATGATGCTCACTTCATTGCTTTTCTACACGTATTGTGGCAGTGGAGAGCCTCTCTTTGTTAATGCAGCGATACAGACATTATTTTGCAGGGGCACCCATATGAAAACCCAATTTATTAAATAAGAAATGACAAAAAAATTGGGAGAAAAAGCAAATGTTACTTGCAAAATATATATCAATATGTACAAACTCCATGCTCCAGGTTAGTCATTACTGCAAGAGAGCAATAGGAGAAAACTGTTAGAAGACACAAAAAGGAAGCAGTTACTGCAGTCATAATGCAATATCCTCACTCTTATGGCAGGACTCATAGTTTCTCCATATCACATATATAATTATACCTTATGCCAGCATCCTGGTATGGGCAGCCCATCACGTCCCTGAAAATAAAGAAAAGGAAATCAATGATGTCCAAGAACACTTACCGATGAAGTGGGGAGGAAAGAGGGGCTAACACACATAGACTGTAAAAAAAGATGAACTCGGGGTTCTAAACTGCAGCCATTTTTTTAGAATGTGCGAGTTAAAATTTGATGTGGTCACATTTGTGAGTGCATGGTCTGTTCTGCTCCAAAGCATCTGCTATGCTTCATACAGTGTGCACTGCAGAGCCACAGCACAGTGCAGCAGGAGTCAGATTTCACTGATTGCCTGAAGAGACCGAGAGAGGCACTTTCAGTACGAGCGCTTTGTCAGCACAACCGCAAAGGTGGCTGTCAAATGCTACTGGCTATGGCATTATTTTTCAGAGAAACAGCTATGTAAACGTAATGTTTCCTTAATATCTACAAACATATTATGTTATTTTTTGGCTTTAGAAGAGTCAAAAAATTACCTAAAGCACCTTTAATCCAGCTTCTGTTAGCATATAACTATAAACTAGGGCTGCACGATTAATCAAAATTAAATCGGAAAGGTGATAAAAATCGTCTGCAATTATGAACGAGATTTTGCATAGCTTGTCAGTGAACTATGGCTCTGTGTAGTAAACGCTGCTCCATCTGAAAGCACGTGATGGAGATTTACTACTAATCACAGAACCGGCTTTACTGAAAAGATACGCATGACAATCACATTCGATTAATCGTGCAGCCCTACTATAAACTATGATAACGAAAAAACTATTCATTAGCATGCATTAATCCCAACAATAATAATAAAAAGTCCCTGTGACTATAGAAAAGTGAAGCCAAAACATCTAAGTATGGTCGCTGTCATCTTGCGCTGTCATCTTGCCAGAGTCTGCAGTATTGATTCATTTGGTGTTTGAGTCTGCGCAGTAGTGATCGTGGGGCGGAGCCTCAGTATCAAAGTCCAACCCAGACTCCCACAGACTCAATCACAAGATCACAATCATGACACCACACCCCATTTTTTAATAGCATTAAATAACTAACTAAAAACAAATTTATTGGAAAAATTAACACTTGAACATACATCAGTATGATAAGGACTACCTAAAATGACGTAAACCATCTTTGGAAAAAATTTATTAGAAGTGTAATTTGATATTTTTTTTTCCACTTCCTACTAGATTACAAATGGGGTTTATGAACTATACTGGGTCCAGCCACCTGGGGAACCTGGGAAACGTTTTGGCTTCACTTTTTAGGATGTGTTCAGCACACTTGCTCACAGTCGAAATTTGCCACCAATGATTATGTGTGACTAAAGGAAGCACACTAAAGCCCAAAGTATACTTCGTTTTTGTACGCATAGAAAGCTTCATCTTTGTCCAGTGTCTGCTCTATTTTTTTCCAAAAGTTATCCATAAAAACATCTTTGTACTCTTTTAAAGTAAAGTTGCAGCTATCGCATAACTCTCTCAAACAAGCTCTTTTCAATGCTGGTATCTGTTGTTGCAGTCTCCAGTATTTTGTTAACATTGTTCGGTCTTTTTAGTTTTGTTTTCTACAGTGAAACAACGGCCAAACTGATTAGTACAATCCAAATTCTGTGGGCATGTGCGACCAAAGCACGTGCGGTTACAAAAATCGCATTAGGGTTGTGCCGATAGACGATAGTATCGTGTATCGACAATAGTCAGAGATATCGACGATAGCAGATGTCTTTGTCGTTAGTCAAGACGATATTAGGCTCATTCTCCAACAGGGCTCTGAACTGGTTCAAGGAACAAAAACAAAAACCAGAAACGAACGAAATTTTGACAGGAACAGAAACTAAATCAAATGTTATAGTTCCGAACAGAATCGAAAATTTTAAATGGCCATTAACCGGTTAATAACGTTATTTTATCATTACATTTACTATTTGAAATTTGCTGTCAACCAATCATGAATTCCAGTAGTACGGTCTATGCAAATGTAATGCTGATGCCAACGAGTGAAATGCCTGCTCAGCTGTGAAGTTGCAATGGCAATGCACTGGCGTTACGAGTTTATCCGAGGATAGTGGAAGAAGGATTCAACAGATCACACGCAACTGCAGCGCTTCTGTGAATGGATAAAACAGAATAAAACTATAGGCTTACATAAAAAGGAATATAGGCATATACACAAAATATATTTCACTTAATTCATTGACAGATTAACAAAACGAAAGAAAAAATGTGCTGAGTTACGGTTCATTGTGATGCGTTCCAAAGTTCTTGGAAAGGAAAGCGAGACAGTAGAAAATAGTTCTGTCAGGACCACTATCGTCAAAATGATAGATACTTAGCATAAAGTTTGGTTTGGCGGTATGGTTCTGTTCTGGGCAAAAGCCTCCCTGCCCATCCACGCAGCCTGTCATGAATGAGCAGGGAGAGCAGCAATAATAACCCCCCCCAGGGTTAACAGAACAGAACAAGGCAGATATCATTAATGTACTCAATGATATTTAAGTGTAACACTTTATTCAAGATAAAGGAGTCTGATTAGCAAGGAATATCAGAAAGCTAAGTCCTGAGTGTGGCGAAAGGTGGAGCTGGGGATGGAGGAGGGTAATTTGCTCCGGCATTCTGAAAGAAGCATATCCTTCTGGAATAACAGAGACTGGGGCAGCAGCAACTTACAGGAGAAGGCAGCGAAGGGGTGCTCTTCTTTATAAGCAGCTGAGCAGCAAGCCCCTTACCGGAGGAGAGTAGCAGCGAAGGGGTGCTCTTTATAAGCAGCTAAAAAGAGCAGCAAGCCCCTTTAATGCAATACCTGAAAAAGATGCAGAAAACCCACTAGAACTGGCAGCCTAGTTTGCAGCAAACATAGCATACTGCAGCCATAGAAGCGAGCAATGAACGGATCAGAGATCACATATTCTACCTGGCCTAAAAGCTTCAGCATCCATTTAAAAGTCTGTACTTAAACATTAGCTTCTTGCTGTTGCAAGTTTAACTAAGTACCAGCACTTGCAGTAACAACCAATAGCTTACAGCAACAAGCAAATCTAGCGACAAACATTATACTGAACACTAGACAAGCCCTAACAAGCAAGCAAAATCCCAATACCCTAATAGCTTAAAGGCAAAGACCTTCTGAAATAGCATAGACTGAGGCAGCATGCCCTTTAAGAAGAGAAACAGTGAAGGGGTGCTCTTCTTTAATAAGCAGCTGAGAAGAGCAGCATGCCCCTTTAATGCAGTACAGCATCTGGTCAATACCTGAAGTTTAGGCAACAGCACGTTGCCCTATCCAGATAATCGTTAGCATTTAATAACACCTTTAGTAGCAAAATCTACATACTACAAGTTAAGTATCAAGCACATTACCGATACACTGTATAGCTTTAAGCAACAGCATATCACAGACTTAAACACAGCTTGATGGAATTAATCATACACATAGGATGTGTTTAATGAAACAGCATCCTCAATACTAGATTAGCCTTAAGCAGCAAGCCTGCTTCATATCAGACAGTCTTAAACAGATTTAAAAACAAGTCTCAGCTGTGGTAAGTTTAAATGGGTAACGTTAATGTTACCAGTGTGTCAAAGTACAACCAATAAGCCTAAAGCTACGGCGTGCCTAGCAAACCAACATGTTACTGAACAACTAGCCTTAAACAATGAGCAATATTTGACAATAGCATATTTGCCAACATAGCGTTAAGCAATGAGAATGAAATAAGAAACTTAGCAGGAAATGTTGCTTAATAATATATTTATGGGGGAAGCATCACCACAAGCTCAGCAAGCCAAAACTCTGAATTTTGTTCATGTACCCCCCTCCGTCATCACGCGTAGGGTTGGGTACCGAAACCCGGTACCAATATGGCACCGGTACCTATGTAACCGGTATGTACTAGAACCGAATCAGAACGCAGATTTCGGTGCCATGCCTGAGCGATCGATTGAAATATTTTCTCCGGTTCTCCGAAACGGACACAAGAAGCATCATCACTGGCACCGCACATGAAAAATAATTCCCGACTGAGAAAATGCACGTGAACTCAAGTCGAAAAGCTCTAATAATACAAATCCAACACATCTTTGTAGTAACGAGAGTGTCCATGTTGTTTTCACATTCCGACTTAAAAGCACAACTCGGGAAATGCGAGCATCCGAGGAGTGCATGAATGCAGTAATTACACTTGCTTTGATGGCAGCATGTAGCCTTCCGTTAACTAAGCTAAACATGCTTAAATTAAAATGCCTAAATCTAAACCTCCCTTGTATTCACATTTCTAAACCTGTTGTCCAACAAAAGAGAACATTATAACCTTTTTACTCCACAACACCAGTCAAATGCTTCCTTCTGTGATCTGATGAGGCTTCTTGTCACAGAATGAGGCAGAAAATATGTTCCATATGCTACTTTAAAAAGAATACATCGATTAGCAATAGATTATAAATTATGGTGACCATACGTCCTCTTTTCCCCGGACATGTCCTCTTTTTGGACCTACAAAAATGTGTCCGGCTGGGATTTCTTAATTGCCCAAAATGTTCAGGATTCGCCTGTTTTCTTAATCCCACTCCCGCTGAATCTCTGACCATTGCCGCCTGCTCCCGCAACATGTGTTT